GCGAATTCCTGCACTCCCTTCCATCGACCACCCATATCCTCCTTGGGGGTGACTTTAATGCTCCTCATAGGCTCTGGGGTTACCCCGAAACACTCAAACCAGGTTGCCTTCTACACTGTCTCGCCCAGGAACGCCATCTCACCCTTCTTAATACTCCTGACACCACTACTCAAGCGGGCACTGTTTCACAGCGCTCCACTACACCCGATCTCACGTTCTCTCGGAGTTCCCTTCCTTTTCACTGGCAGGTGCCCACTGAAAATCTTTTTCAGCGATCACTTTCTCATACACATCACCACCCCTCTTTCCCACAACAGGCGGAAACAATGAGTCGCTCACACTGACTGGGAAGCATTCCGTAATAACCTTTTGTCTGACACATTTAAAACTTACGACGACTGAACGTCGTGGATCTCCGCAGCCATGACATCCTGTAGTCGCCACGCTCGTTTTCAACTACCCATTCCTGACCTTGATCCTCACTTCCTCCGCTTATGGCGACGTCATCCACGTTTGAAACGCGCTCTCCGCTCCCAGCCACACAACGTCCAACTTTCCTTCCGAATTCATGCTCTGCGGGCTGAAATTATCGCTTACGGCACTTCTCTCGAGCACTCTCGTTGAAACACGCTGTGTGACGGCCTTGACTCCGCACTGCACTCGCGCTCTACATGGTCTCTGTTTAGGTCTCTCTTAGGTACCAAGCCTGCCGTTGCTCCCACCCTAGCTAAAGCTTTCGCTCAAGGGACTCCATCTGATGTGTTTGAAAATTTAAAATCTCTGTATCTCCCACCCCCCCTCACACCTTCCTTACCCAGATTACTGTGGCGAAGCTAACCCAGACCTGGACCGCCCATTCACGCTCAGGGAGCTGGAAGCTGCCTTAGCCACTCAATCTACCCGCTCGGCACCCGGTGAGGATGAGATAACATATACTACACTACGTAATCTCCCCGACAATGCGAAGGAATTTCTCTCACACACATTCAAGGAAGCATGGAACAGCGGCGGTCTTCCAAGCTCTTGGACATCCTCTCTAATTTGCATGATTCCGAAGCCGGGCTAACCTCCATCTCTCTCTAACCTTCACCCTATCTCTTTGACGTCATGCGTTGGCAAGACTCTTGAGCGAATGGCCTTGACTGGACTGTCTAATTTTATTGAGGCGAAAGAGTTTTTCCCTCCATCTCTTATTGGCTTCCGATGCCACGTTTGTGCGCAGGACATGTTCCTTGTTCTTCAGCATACTTTTCTTTCACCTTCTCGTAGTCAGATCTATGCGCTTGTAACCGTCGATGTACGGAAGGCATTCGATAGCGTGAGTCATGACCACATACTCGCTCAGCACTCCTCCCTGTCATGTGGCTCCCGCATGTATTCTTACATCCGATCATTTCTTTCCAATCGAGTTGCTCGCTTTAGAGTCGATACTCATTTGTCTAATCCCACACTCCCTCACCCGCGGCACTCCTCAAGGTGCCGTACTATCTTTTACTCTATTTAATAAGGCTATGGCCCCCCTTGCCTCCCAACTGTCCCAAATACCTGACCTCCACCATATTTTTTTATGTAGAAGACATCACTCTCTGGTGTACGTATGGATGTCCCGGCCACGTGCAGGATACTTTGCAACGTGGCCTGGACCTTATCGCTTCCTTTCTCGCTACTGCTGGCATGTCCCCTGCACCGGAAAAATGTGAACTACTTTTGCTAAGCCGGTCTGCGTACCAGCGCTCCCACAATACCCTCATCTCCCTACATCTTTCTAGCTCTCTCATTTCCACTGTTCAGGCAATGCTAAGTTCTTATCTTCCCTTTGCACGTGACAAAGAACGCGCAGGCCCTACATCACGCTGTGAGGAATTGTCATTCGGTGACCCACCTCCTGCGACGCGTTGTCACTCGGCAGTCGGGGCTCCACGAGGCTCATGCTTGCCGGGTTGCACATGCGCTTGCCCTTAACAAGTTCTTGTACTTTGTACCCTACGTTCATTTCAACCGAACGCAATTCAACACACTCGAAAGAGCTCTGTCAGGCCTCTACAAGACAGCTCTAAACCTCCCTGTCACTACCTCTACCACTAAGCTCTTTGCCACAGGCCTCTTCCATCCATTACGTTCTCTTATTTCTCTGCACCACGACTCTCAGATTGCCCGTCTTTCTCTCACTCGTCAAAGCCAATGGCTATTAACCCAAGCCGGTATCCCTCACATTCCCGTTTCCGTTTCCACCTTGCCTTCTGCCGCTAGCCCCGCTGCTTCTAACCTTCGCCTCCTTCCCCTCCCATCCAATATGTCTCCCGTTCTTCACGCCGGCCGGTGTCATGCGGCAGCACAGCATCATTCTCCTCCTCTCTCTACACAGGGAGCTGCCTACACGGATGCCTCATACATGGCTCCTCGGGGCTCGTGTGGCTACGTTATTTACCATCCACACCTTTCGGCACCTGACACGCACACCAGCGGGCCATACTTACACCCGCCAAATGTACTTTCGCTCGAGGTCCTTTCCATGGTCCACGCCATGCAGTCATTTTCCTCCCTCCCTTCTCTCCCCGAGTACACGATTTACTCCGACTCTCACGCCGCCATTTCGTCACATACAGAACAACACGTTGCCCCCTGCTCTTCAACAGGAGGTCGAGCGAGCGGCCTCTGCTCTTCAACTCTCCACTGTCTTCCTCCGCTGGGTTCCTGGGCATTCGGGTATTAACGGCAATGAGCTAGCTCATCAGCTTGCCCGCGATATATTGCGCCGGGCACCGGTCATTCCCTGGCCCACACCTTCGGAAGACAGTGAGAGCTCCGCGAATAACGATGGGCAGATCTCCTTGCGTCACACTATCAAGGAGGTATATCTCCAGCTCCGGCTCGACAAGCGTCTTTACCCTCCCCCTCATTCATCACTCACTGCGCTCGAGGCTCGAACTCTACGGCACATCCAAATGAACTGCTTGATAACCCCCTCTCGCCTTTTCCTTTATAAATATAGGTCTAACCCCTGCAGTCCTAATTGGCCCTCCCCATACGCTGACCTGTCACACTGCCTATTTTACTGCCCAACTGCTCAGCAATCCAGCTATTACTCTCCCCCATTTCTTTCCATAACCTCCTGACTCGACTGGATCGGCACCGAAGGGGAAGAAGAACAGCGTCGACTGGTCGCACAGGCGGTCGAAATGCTCGGCCTGTAAATTGTGGCTGAATAAAAGTCTATTACTACTACTACTACTACTACTACTACATGCATACATACAGGTTGACGACTGACCCACGCCTTAAGGAGCTTCACCCCTAAAATATCTCACATGCATTCCTCAGAAGCAAGTGCTCTCGGGGTCGGACGCTTCCTGGCACACTTACAGGTTCCGTTAAGCTAAGCGCATGTCATGCCTGCCACGTTTAAACATTCCCATTTGTTCCCACTCCAAGTTATAACGCGATAGCGTTAAAGAGCTCGTTTCGCAAGAATTCCGGCGTCAGCGTCGGCATCGGCGTCAATGGTTGTGAGTGAAAAATCAGCATGTTTGTGTGACTGAAAAATTGAGAAAGATGCAAATAAAACCTAATTATAAAAAATTCTGGGCCTGAGTGGGGACCAACCGGGGTCGTTTGCGGGGCAAGCGTTTTAGCACACAGCCATGCCTTTGCTAGAAAATGCAGTGAAAATAACTTCCTCTGCTTGGAAATGCAGTGAAAGCAGCTTCCATACTTTACAAACACACGTATCCTGTATACATTCTGCTCAATACAACATGAAACATTGCCGTAATAATGCGTGATACAAGCGTAGAATTCGATGGGGTGTCAGAACGTGGGATTATCATAATGACTTCATAGTTTAAAGCCAATTACCCAATACAAAAGGCACACACGCTGCTGGACCTTTAAGGCCACGTAGCGGGTGCATAGCGTGTTCGAAAAGATTTTATACACTGATTGATTGATTGATTGATTGATATGCAGGGTCTAACGTCTCAAAACCACCATATGATCATGAGAGACGCCGTAGTGGAGGGCTTCGGAAATTTCGACCACCTGGGGTTCTTTAACGTGCACCCAAATATGAGCAACAACATTTCCGCCTCCATCGGGAATGCAGCCGCCGCAGCCGGATTCGAAACCGCGACCTGCGGGTCAGCAGCCGAGTGCCTTAGCCAGTAGACCACCGCGGCGGTGCAAGATTTTATACACCTAAGTGTTTGAAGTACGCAAGAGAAACAGAATATCTCTATCACTGTTCAACTCCTACAGGCAAAGCTTAAGGGTCCCCCTATTTTTTTTCGACAATGTACATTTATTAGGCGCCCATGTTACGCGTAATAATCACTTCGGCAGCTCCTTAGAGGCAAACTCCTGTCAGGCGTCGATTGAACGGCATGAAACCGCACGGAGTTGGGTGCTCTGTAAACTAAGACATGACGTAGTCTCCCTTTTTGTTACGACGCAATGTAGAGATGTCGACGGCGCTGTGAACGAATCAAGCACTGGTGGCAGTGCGAAAATGTTTTTCTCTGTCAAAACGTGCGCAGCTCGAGTGACTTTGCTGTCGTTTAGAGTGTATCAGTGTTTCTTGCCGGTTTTATGTTTTCTTTGTTTTTTTTTCAGGGCACATTCTGAAACACTGCTTTCGCCGTTTGTGTTTACAAACTCCCACGTGACTTAATCGGGACCAGAAACGTCATATCGTTTTGAAGGACGCTTTGCGTCATTGTAGATGGAGGAAAGTGGGGAAGGAATGTGAAGATAAACGGACGACGAGAACGCGAAGCCGGATTTCGTGCGTGTGGTGCGCCAATTGAAACTCGTCACATTCGGCGATAAGCAAGGAGTGCGAAGCGTGCCACAATTTGAAAGGAGGAAAACAACGCCGGCCTGCGGAAGGTCGAACGAAAGGGTGGCCCGAGGCGCGCCGAAACAATAACGATGTTCAGCTCACAGGAAATCTAAAGAAAGAGAGCGAAGTTTCGCAACTGTACCTTTTTGTACGTAAACGGTACCTTTCTGCAAGCTGCTGTGTTGAATCTCCGTCATGTCGCAGTCTCGACCCGTTTTTCTGAACACCGAAAAACCAAAATTGTAATCTTTTATTGCATTTTCTGTTGCATCCAGCACTTTTTTTCCGTGCTCCTACCCCCATTCCCTCTTTATAACTGCTGTTATTCGTCCTTGTGTTTTGATTATCGAGAAGAACGATGAAAGACTGCTTCTCGTGAACGTCCTTTCAGCAGCGCTCCACAAAACACCACAATCCTCACCTTTATTATTATTTTTTGTCCCTAAAACTCTATAACTTTCCTGCTCTTGCAGGAATACCCTAGGCGCCGGCTGGAATCGATGAACACACATTCATTCGACATCTGAACACGCTTCTTGCTTTGCTTATGTCTACAATGTTTCATGTTTGCATAAATTTTCTCCTCTTTCTACTTCGCCTGAACTTTCCGCCTCGTCGGACATTCTTGCCGCTGTCTGCACTCTGTTCAGGCAGTCGTTCGATCTTGCCTGTAGGTCGTCTTATATTTATAATCTTTTTTCTTGCGACTCGAAGAAAGTTTTGTGGTGTTTTCGTTCGATTATGTCAGTCACCGTCAGCATTGCGATCCAGATTATATATATATATATATATATATATATATATATATATATATATATATATATATATATATATATATATATATGAGAAGGTAGGCTACAATAGCGTCGGCTATTCCATTGCAAAGGCAAAAAAAAATAAGAATAACAGAATAAACATTACGAGAGCGCCTCCACACCTCTCTGTGCGCGCCCTTTTCGTTTCTGTCTCAAGCTCCTGCCTCCCGCCAAAATCGTCGCACCACGCGCGCCACGGCCACATCTTGACGTAACGGTCTCGTAGCGAATGCCAGCTGCCACTGCACCCTCCTCATTTTCCTCGATCCTTCTTCCCAGCAGCCTCCATTTTTGTATTCACATCCTACACTCGTTCTCCATATTTCGCGTTCCCTGCCTCCCATGCTCACTGCTCCGTAAAGGCGCGTCTTTTCTTTTTCGTTTTTATTTGAATCTCGTTTCTGCTGCCTTACAACATCCCACAACGTCACTGGCCCCTAGGCATTGCTTTTAGAGGCGCCCCACAGTGCTCCTTCACGTTCTATTGTTTAGCTAAAGGCAACGCATTCATGAAATGCATTTGCTCCCCGTCCTTTTTTTTATCTATAGGAAGGGCGGCAGTGGGGATTTACCGGAGCGGAGAACAGCACTTCAGAAAAGTTTGTGTAGGTCTGGAACCTGGCTCTGCGTTTACGGTGTTTACACACACGCATATGGCGTGCGTTTCCCCCACTAATGTAGGTTTGATAGCCTAACCATCAGTAAATAATTGGATGATTGACAATAGAAACTCAATCAATCAATCAATCAATCAATCAATCAATCAATCAATCAATCAATCAATCAATCAATCAATCAATCAATCAATCAATAAATCAAACTTAATCAGTCAATCAATCAATCAATCAATCAATCAATCAATCAATAAATCAAACTTAATCAGTCAAACAATAAATCAACATCTTCTCAACCACATTTACATGATAACATAGAAATAAAGAAAAATTCTTCTTTATTTAAAACCACTGCAACCATCTTGACGAGGTTTGTTGAATTCAAAGGTAAAAGCTTAGCGGCCTAGAGCATTCATCTAGCCGTCAGCTTTTCCCAAACAAGATATTCCGAAAAATGAAAGAAAGATGTCACAAGGCTTGTTACAGTTGTAGCTGCATAGATCGTTAGGTCAGGAAGCAAGATATTGGCTACGGCTCACAGCGCATGGCTCTGTATTCCAGAGACGACCATAGATACTCCAGTGCTCATTGAAATAGTCATTTACTTCGACTCTTGCATCTTGGCTCAGTAATATGCATCGGGTAGTATTGGTAAGTTGAACCCAGAAAGCTCTACACTAGAGGCAGAATACTTCGTATACTCACGTATGGCGAGCAAGTAGGGCATTATTTTATACTACAATTGACAAAACCTTTCTTTCGCACTTGCTTTCATCGGGATTTTGTGATGGTATATCGGATAATATTTTTTTTTTATCAGAGACATGAATAAACTATTGCGCGAGGACACTACCGTAGTCTTCAATTTTGATATTTCGAGAATTTGAAAGTTCATTGCCACTTTATTCAAACTTCGCTGAAATACATTATGCGCCATTCTTTCCCCACAGCAGGTGCTTGTCACTCGACACACGCTTCAGAAGACAACAGAATTTCCGGCGTACATTCAGCCGCCTGTCGTCTCCCGATTTCATTTGTCGAGCGCATTTCCAGCGCTGCACTCATAACTGTATTTATCAGTCGCTTTCTTGGACGAAACTCGCGTGGCACAGATATAGAGGCCCAAATAAAGAGCCGACACACCGATCTGTGAAACAGCTGCACGCGAAAAAGATGTGACAGCAGAAATATCCACCACGTGTTTTGCTGGCTCAACTTTCAGATCTCTTTTCATTCACCTATCACTGAAGACAGGCTGCGCTAAGATTGTGCGGCAAAGCAGCATGCTCTCATGTTCCACGAATATGCGGGCTCATTGAAGCGCATTTGAAATAAATGACGAAAATACTCAATCTAGATTCAATTGCTTCTTCACTTCTTCAGTGAAGCGTTCAAATGTTATCTGTATGGGAGATATATGAAACTTCAAAGAATAGGCTAAACGCTCAGACGGCCTTCGATCGAAAGAGGTTCCTCTGGCCTAAGGTTTTATTTATTTTCTCTTTTGGTTGTCTGTCTATTTTTCTCTCGGTCGTCTTATGAAATACGCGGCTCACAGAATGGCAACGTATGCGGCCTCTACTTGAAGAAATGCGACCCGCTGTCCCTGCCGGTGTTTTGGCCGCCACATATTCAATTTGCGATGCAAGCGTGAAATATCAAAGAAAAAGAGACCACCTCCCACTAAAGGGAATGTGAAGCAGCGCTGGTGTTCACTTGTGTTTTCATTTGTTTTTTTTTTCATTTGTATGTTTCCGTGTATGTTTTATTTGTGTTTGGAGTGCTGTATATGTTGTGTGCCGCGTATGTGGCACCCTTCTATTTATTTGTATTGCCACGTGTTTGCCGCAAAGTGAACACTCAGCACTGTTAGACGGAGAGGGGGAGAGTTTGCGCATGCGCAGTGGGCCACCGGACTGGTCGCTGAGGGACGGACACAGCCCCGACCAAAGGGGCTTCGCCTCTACAAATCATGCAGATATATGAAGAAAGGAAGCGGCTTTACATCACGATGATTCGTTTGCGCTGCGAGCTCTACTCTACGAGTGAGGCGTGCATATAGGCCGAGGAACATGAATTATGCGTAGACCATTTCAAGGAAGTGTGTGTTGCGATGTAATAGGCAGTGCCTGAAGTATAGCGGCCATGACGCATTTCCTGTTTCCGCGATCGAATGCGTCACACAAAAAGAATTGCTAGTGCGCGTGGTTTCAACACTACTTTACGCTATCCAGGGTTGACGAGGGTGGAAAGTCGTGGTTCGTGAATGACCCCCACCTTTGACCTTGGGAACATTCGCTTCCTCGGCAGAGTTCCTGTTGAGCCATCCCAGCGTGATGCTATTTGACGTTGTCGAGAGAACGCTTAGAGACGCTGGTCTCCGAGGAGCTGCGAAGACGATAAGAAATTCGTTGTGGTCTGTGGAGACGAGATTACTATAACGTCATTGTGTTTCGTCTCTACGTGTCTAGGAGTCTTCATATAAACAATGTTTGCCACCTTTAAACGTATGTTTGAGACTGAACACTCAGTATGAAAGATGAAGAAAACACCCACTAAAAGGGTTATTGCTAGACACTCCTGCCATAAAAAATCACGCAATATACTTTTGTTATGAAACCATAACTAAGTGCAAACATCCTCAGCGTAATGTCAGCACGCCTTTGTTGCTATCAATATCCTAGGAGAAGTGGCTTCATAGCAGCCGTATATTGTAACGCTTGCTCACGTGGTTCATGCCTTTCAGCACGCCGCAAGAACTGTATACAAAAAGACATGACAATGTTGAGGTTGCTGTTTGATATTACAGCCATGCAATAATGTTCGTCATCAATTTGTACTTCTGAGTGGTATTGTATGGAACTGATATTGCCGAATTCAGATAATTTTTTAACTTTTCTTTTCCTAAAAAAGCACTGTTGAAGCAAACTGGGGTTATCAGCACAGTTCTCGTAAAACAATACTCTCTTCTATAAATTGATGATAGTCCTAATACGTCAGATGGTATACTGAGAATTAAAAAGGAAACGTGTACTCACATTTCTGAGATATGTTCGCTGTAAAAATAATAATAAAAATTAAATAAATGCAGTGCAGGTATAAAATCCCACTGGGTAAAGTAATTCCAAGTCCAATCATGAATTGAAAAATTAATACATATAATCATTGGTTTTACTCTATTCTTGGCATCTTAGTGTGTCAGTGAGCAGTTATTCGCCTCCGAAGGCATAGCATGTTTTTCGTACGACACTTCACTTTTTCGATAAGACAGCGTGTTGATATTTACGCCTACGTAGACACGCTGAGCCGGGCCCAAGTATACAAAAAGTAAGTGCCTATGCGCATTAGGTTTATAGAAAAACATTGCTCTAAATAAACGAATAATCTGGGGTAAAACGACACAATTGGAAAAGTTACGAAGTCTCCACGTGAGAATAAGCCACTTATCGCCACAACAACACAGAACAAGCATAAAGTTTAAACCTTACAATGGTACTCTTGTATAATCTGCAGTCCCAATAGAGCTAGGAATGATTCCTAACATAGTGAACAAAGTTGATATCGGTGACATCGAAGGAACACAAACTCAACCCTCTCTGAAGTAAACAAATCTATACAAATTACGTCGATTCGTTGGAGCCGCCATTGATTTTTACTTGTGGTCATTGAATAATGATAGTTGTGCCATGAGGTCGTAATGTAGGACGTGATGCCCACGGTAAGTGCAATGGGCTTACATGCTCAAGAGCGGCGCAATACTGTTGAAACGAACTAAAGAGTGTGGAAATATGAAATAAAAGCACGAAATCGCAAAGTACAGGCATCTCTAGAAACAAACGCATACGTAGACGCTTTCTGTACGCTCATCTCAGTGTACAAGGTAAGGCAATTGTTGCATGCATGAAGTGCTTGCAAGAAGATGCCGACCGTAATGCTTACCGTGAACACGGACTGTGTAGTGGACAACGTCCCTTCCGTACAGGTTGTGCGCATGGCAGGTGTAGTTCGTGGCAGTCAGCCTGTCTCGGCTGCTTCGATCTGCAGGGTACCCGAGGGCAGCACTCGAACGCGGTCGCTTTGCCGCAAGGGGCCGGAACTATGAAACAAACGGGAGCATATTAAAGGCAGTCCCAAAACAGCAACATTTAAAGAGCGCAATGACCGATAATAATAATAATAATAATAATAATAATAATAATAATAATAATAATAATAATAATAATAATAATAATAATAATAATAATAATAATAATAATAATAATAATAATAATAATAATAATAATAATAATAATAATAATATAATAAATATGTGGTGCCACGTGCCGAAACTACAACATGATTATCAGGCACGCCATAGTTGAGGGCTCAGCAGATTTTAATCACCTGCGGTTCTTTAACGAGCATATAAATCTAATTATGCGGTCCTATAGCATTTCGTGTCCATGTAAACAGTATTAGGTGTTTGGATCATGAGGACATTGCTATACTAAGTTGGAATAGGCATGAACGAGATCAGCGGACACCTTGAAGTCTGTTTCATTGAAGAAAAACTTCCTTGCCGACTAAGTGATTCATATTTAGAAGTTAACCCACCAAAATATAAAACACGAAGAAAGAAAAGTTTGAATAGCTAATTGTTCGTGGCATTATCTCACCGCCATAAAATCTTGACTCCAGAGAAGCACCAGAACCAAAATAACACTTACGAATGACAAAATAGCCATAACGCTTATGGTCTCTTACTACGTTAAGTAACGTATAGCATATTGGGCCTGTTGGTACGGGATACTGCAGTTTTATAGCGCCTGAAAAGCACCTGTCCCGTCTTTATCTGTACGTGTTTTTTGTGCACCAGAAAACTACATCGCTATGCTGGAGCGGTTCGTAAGAGCAAACATAAGTTTACTTGAAATGCGCAGAGCGGGTGATGAAGTAAATATAGGCATGCATTTTGCGAGATGATATATTTGGTATCTTATAACTATGTGGCTACGTTTTTTCAAAGCTAGTTTAAAACTTGTCGAGCCTTCAACAATTTTTATATTAGGGCTGGTTTCAATCTATGAGTGGCTTGATTATATTTTTTATTGGTCACACACTGTTGAAGGTCGCCGCAAACTTTGCGAGCAATTAGTGCCGAATGTGTGCGTCTCAAAGTTTGTTTTCCCGTCTACCGCGTTACAATTCTTTTCCGCGAATTACCACTTATATGCTTACTCTGATCAAACCTGTATTAATGCAGCAGCATATATACTCTCGTGCAGCCGCTAACGAGTAATATAGCAAAAGTCACCAAAGAAGAAAAGAAAGTGAATCAAATCGACGCTTTTCTCTGGAAATACTTGATCAAGGGAAGTAATTAACGACTCTCTCTGAAATAGGTTCGATGAATTTGGCGCGAGTCTCAGGCGTACTTCCACAAAGGTCGGTTTGCATTGGTTTGTGACAACATTTAGCGCCTTCGCTGGAGTGCTATAACGAGCGTGCACAAAGGCAGACATTTCAGCCCTCTAGAATCTTTCTGAGAGCGTATATTGGGGAAGGGGAAATCCTTCGACTGGGAAAGCAATGCAGATGCTGCAATATACCAGAGCTGCTTCTTCCTTGAGATTTCACTGGCAGCAGCATTCAGCCTTCTACTATTTAGGTGAGCTGATGGGCGGAATCAAAGGAGAGAGAAAGAGAGAGGCTTGAATCAGACGAGTAGCCAAAGAATTCATTGCTCGAGGCTGCTGTGCCATTCGGTATCCTTTGTCTTCGTTTCTTTTTCAGGCTCGTAACTACACGGGCAGGTTTTTCGAGGACCAGGGTTAGGATGCCGGAGGGCCTTTTGCCCATTTGGAGTGAAATGCAACCACCTGCACTCGATTTCGGTTCGAGCTCCTAAGGGCGATTCGCTGACTGCGGCAGGGGTGCCCGTTCGAGGTGAACACATAATGTGGGCTGTGCACGCTTATGTGGACGCGAGCTCTGTAGCGCAACGCTCTCGCGAGCTCGCTTTGTGAGCTCGCGCGCGGATCGAACAATGCCTCCGAACAGGGAATACCGGTGTCCGTCTTCTTCCTTCTCCCCTTCTATGCCAGATTCGTTGTCTGCGCCCGTGGCCGTTCGCAATGGCCTGACTCTCATTGTTCGTCGAAGACAGCGGCCTGTCTCTCACGGGATGAACGCGCCTAATACGTGGCATTGCAGAACTAGAACGGAAAGCTAGGGCAAGGCCTTCTCTCCCGTTCCTCTGACGAACGATCCCATGGACGGCGATGACAGTCAGATTACGAGGTGGCCGGGACGGAATAGAGCCGAGAATGAGAGAGGCAGTCAGGCGAGCGGTGATTACGGCAGGTGTCCTGGTAACGACCTCCACCCGTCGTCATTTAGATACCAGGAAATACATTGGCTGAAGGAAAGGACGAGGCTTGCGAGGCAGAAGGTGTGAGCGGGGAAAAGGCAACTAAATTCTTGGAGGGAGGAGAATGAGGGCAAGAGAATAACCAGAGTGACGACACTAAGAAACATCTCTCTCGGCTACCATGGACCGTGACGCATTCGGAAAAATAAAGGCGCCGTTTGGTGGAAGATGATCGTGTAGCGTAGGAAAGAGATCGAAATACCTGCATACGTGGCATGACTGCTTTCATACTGTTTACCGGAAGAATGCGAAGGATTGTTTATTGGCGGTGTTTGACACACGTAACAGTCGTCGCTTCTCTAACGTGACGGATGATAGAGGGCGGTTTGGTGTTTTCTAGCATTTGGAGGAGCAGCAACAAAGGAAATGAAAGGTGGGGGGAGGGAATCAACTAGACGCACGTTCGTTTCGCTACCCTGCACTGGAGGAAGGAATAAGGGGATTAAAAAAGAAGAAAAAGAAACAGGGTAAGAGCGCCATATGGGTACATGTGTCCTTGTCCATTGCACGCCTATGAGCGGTCACTTAGTCCGGTCAACTTTAAGAAACCTATAGCATCTGGTTCTCAAATTAAACTATGGAAATTGTTCTAGTGCCACTCTAGGAACTGGAAAGAAAAAACGTAGGATGCATGCTGCTTGCGAATGGGAAGGACAATTCTATCTGAAGTGTACACACCTTGTCCGCCACTCCCTCACTGGCGTCGGTTGTCCCGCTGTCCTGCAAGGAAGCTCCAGGTCTTGCTTCAGGGCAACGCTCACTTCCCGGCTGAAGGATGCTATGCGTGCCGGAGCTGCGAAAAACAGAAATCGTGGCATTTAACTGCAGTGATTCAAGCGCGATAATCCGCTGGAAAAGAGGCAGGGCTAGCGATGCACTGGCTCGTCCGTATGGTTTGCTTGTGTTATGACACTTGACATTCTCATAGCAATGTTTCGTCGAGTTCTGTTGTAAAGACGTACAGTGTGGTTGTAATCAATATAAGCAGAATGAGAGAAGAGTTCTCACCCCGTACTTCTGGACTCTGGGTGATGATACGCGTGGCCGGACCCTCACCGGCACCCGTCGACGCGGTTGCCCAAAACTCATAGCGCTGACCCGTGCGCAAGCCGCGGGTCTCGTGCCAGAACTGGGACGCCGGCACGGACACAGGCCGCGCCGGAAGAGCGCCCGAGACTTGCTGCGCATGCATTGAAGCGCGTGACAAACTCTGAGGATTCGTTTGCTGAAAGTGGTGAGCAAGAAATACATCTTCGTTTAATTATGCGGTTTACTGTACAAAAGACACAAACAATGTGCACGACTGACGTCGTTGTTTTGCTTCTGAAATAAAACATATTGATTTGAATTTGCACTTTCCTCCTCCTCCACATTTGAAATTGGAGGAGACCGTACGTAGCCTACAGATGCGTGCGCTAATGTAAGCATGTAGTGAGGAAGGCAAGACTAGTTTTAAAATCGTTGGTTCCAGCGACACGCTGTTTTCAAGAATATTATTCTCTTCAACTGTCCACCTTTTTCCTGAATTGAAAGTAGAAGCAGCCACAGAACAATTGCACCACAAATGCAAAAGTTCTGGCAGCGATCTCACAAATCACTCAGCGCAACGTAAAAGTAAAAGAAAAGCAAAAAGAACAAGGCGTCCAGGCATTCAACGCATTGCCTTTAGTGCGTGAAGAGCGTCTCGAGATCGACAGTGACACATTGAGTCACACTATCGCAGCTTGTCGCACATTTCACAAAGCCTCTTTCAGAAAGTTGTCGTTTCAAATCCACTCTGGAAGCTTCGCTGGCGTCGCTAGTTTAGCAGCTGCTATAACGATGCACTAAGCGGACCGTGGAAGAAACCGACGCCCATTGCTGGCTTATCTCTACCAATCTCGGCGCATTCATCCCAGTGGAGTATCGCAACCTTCTTGAGGCTGAAATTTCGAACACGACTCCTTTGTATCGTCGTTCTAGTGCGAGATAAAAACTGTTTCCAAGTTTGCCACTAGCAGAGAATGCACCAAACCAGCGAGCAGATTGTAAAAAAAAAAAAAGACGGAAGAGTATTTTCGTTCGAGCTGACTTGTCGCATTCCCCACACCCCCTCTCTGGCCGTTTCCAGGACAAAATGGGATTTCTTTTTACATCTCTGTCTTCGCTAGCTCGCCATTCGCCAACTTATTGTCGGGAGTTCTTTGCTTCTTTATTTTCGCCATTTGGCGCCTCACTTTCAAGCAAAAGCCAGTGAAACTCTCTGTCAATGTGTGCCCTTTCTATTTCTCTGCAGTCTAAAGCGGATAAGTAGTTTATGCTCGGATGCTGAGGTGATGTGGGGAGCATTACAGAGTGAGTGATTGCGAGATGCAGCGAGGCGGCGCTGTTGAGAAGATAAGAATGTAAACTTGAAGAGCTTTGGCGCTGGACTTGATCGGTGGTCATTTCTTTACGTCTTTTTGTTCAGAGAAAAAGGGGGGGGGGGCTGCAAGGCGAGCTGCAAGTCTTTGACGCAGTTGGAACTTGCAAGCCGACGCAAGATGCGATCGCTTGCTGGAAACCTGTATGAAGTTTCAGGTTCAGCTTAGGCAAAAAAGTGCGTCCTACGACGCAACTTATTGGTCAAACTCTTTCACCATATATGTCTCTTTTTATCGTCAGATGTGACCTTGAAGGCTTCAAGCTATCTTATTATTTGACAAAGAGGGCGAGAAAGAGCGGGGATAGTTTGACGAGCCGGGTTGGTGCTATATATGTAAAAAAGATGGCTCTCAAGAGAAAATACGCACCAGGCCACGTTCGATTTTGTATGGCCAAGTTTTTCCGGAGCTTGAAATGTTCACTACCATACATTACTTTGAAAAACTCAGGCCAAAGAGATATGACCAAAGGGCGCAAACATCGCAGTATCCGCAGTGGCACAGCGTTTATCTATACTATGAATTCAGACCGGCTGCAAATATGTCCCACTGTAAATTTTCAATTTTGGTGGTTAAATGAGAGGGATATATCCTAAGTATGAAAAAGAAAAAGCCCAGTTGGCAGCTCACTGGGTTCGGGTCTCACGGTAAGGCGAAGCCATTTTAATTGCTATGATAGTTTGTTTCTCTGAAAGAGTAGCCCAACGTGCTATAGAGAGAGTTACGCGATAGAACGTGTAATGCAACATCCAAAACTGTGTAACGTCCACTTGGAAGACAAAGTGGCTCCTTGTACAAAGAATACTTCACTAGCACCATAAGCCAGCATTATGAGTGTGAAAAGCCTTGTTTAAAATGTTGAGATTTATTCTATACCTAACCTGCGAACATTGAAACGTAGGAGATACCTAGAGATTGAGAATTTAACACTCATTCGTCATCGAAGTTTTCGGGGCTTACTGCGGCAAGGTTGATTACTGAAGCTTTCTTTCTCAGAGCTGCGGGCCTTTGGCTCGGTGAGGCTGCTTGCTCTTTGAAACCACTACATGGAAATAGCTACGTATGTAGGTCACAATCACTGCCTGCTCGACGGGTTGTCATCGCATAACTCTGCACTGTCACCTGTACTTTGTACGAACGTAATAACAGCAGGTTGAATGGTAGCACAGAGTGTTGCAGAGCCAGTCACTGCGTTGGAGGCGCTCCTTGCCAGTTTATAAGATTGACCGGCTTCCTCCTGCGTACCCATCGTGGTAGCTCAGCACGTATAGTGTGTCACCATGCTAATCCCGAGGACGTGGGTTTCATTCCCTGCCACGGGGGCCGCATTCAGATGAGAATGAAATGCAACAACACTTGTGAACTTCGACTTAGACGCGTGTTAAACAATCACAATCGGAAAAATTAAACCAAGGTCATCTACTATGTTGTCCCTGGTAATCCAAAGGTGGCTTTGGTACGTAGAACTCCATAAAACCGTCACACTTCTTTGGTTTGGCCACTATGAATAACCTTCATAAAAACCAGCAAATGACTAAGCCAAAGAACATACAAGGGGCGTCAATTGTAAAGTTTTAAGTATACCGTGGTAACTGCGATAAGTATGCAAAGAAAGTAAAGTGAACAGGACAACTCGCCACTGGCGTGAACAGCAGCTGCAACCTTCTAAAAGAGACGGCAAAAAATTACACAATCGTCTCAAAGTGAACCCTGATGGGATGCGAACAGCAGCGTTGAGCAAAGGTGGCGTCACGGGTTGAACGACGCTGGAACATTCGTTTAGGTGCTGTGGGCGAACGGACGATGTGGTAGCTGCGGGCGCTGTGGCGAGCGCGCGGCAGATGGGGAAGAGAGTGATGTCAGCACTCACTGGCAGGGGAGTGTGACGTCAACGCGCAGCTGTGGCGTGACTTACTTGGCACCCTTCCAACACCTGCGGCGAGGGGACTCATTGCGGTGCGTTTGTATACGGGCACACGGAGGGAAAGCGTTACACAGGCTAGTTAAAGAGCTGCTTCGAATCTAAAAAGGGCTGCACTCTTTCCTGTCCTTTCTGCCTTTTTGTTTGTTCTTGGGAAGTACGTTACCTAGTATGGGCTTGCTTGTAGTGACCGGCAAATAAACGACAGCGAAACACATCGTTGTCTCTGAGTATTAGGAAAATATATATAACAGTTCTGGTTGAACTCATGCGAACACTTCCGTAAGCAGCACGCAGCCATGAAAGAGCTACAGTAATACTTAAACTAGCATAGGTAATTACGGGAAAGAAAAAAAAAAGCCGAGCATACCTACAGAATAGGACACAGCGGTATGTCTTCTTTCCGAGTGCTAGTCCCTTTATGTCAGTGAGTGCCGGAAAAAGGGCACAGTGCTCTGCCCTCTTGTGTCAATCTACTCGGCCATTTTTTTTTCTTTCCCGTAATGCGCTATGCCATTTCAAGTACGACGAACTAACAGGGCTAGTCTTCAACACTTGTGAGCTACAGTAAGTTGAATGCAGAACATGAGAGGTCGACTGCATTCACTCGATTGGCGCGCAAGCTCGTTGAGTCTTGCTCAGCGCCGTTACGATACTCCTTCTTCTGCTCCTCCGCAGGGTGTTGTGGCTAAGGTACTCGGCTGCTCACGTACCCGCCGGTCACGGGATCAAATCCCGGTTACAGCAGCTGCAAGTTTGATGGAGGCGAAAATGCTGTAGGCTCATGTGCTCAGATTTGGGCGGGCGTTAAAGAACCCCAAATGGTTGAAATTTCCGGAGCCCTTCACTACGGCGTCTCTTATCATATGGTGGTTTTAGGACGTCAAACCCCAAATATCAATCAATCCTTCTCTCTTCCCGATGTAAGGGCGGTTCATACTGAAGAACCAGATGACTAAGGCGAAAAAAACTCGGGCGGATTCCTTAGTTCATAGCGATCTTGCAAATGGTCTTCACGCACAACACCAAGTGGAGACTACGGACGTAGGGCAGATTCTAAATAACTTCGGATCACAACGGCTGCTCGGCAGATCCTTAATAACTGATAGTGACAAGTTTATTAACTGTCAGCAGTTGCTTTTACTGTTTCCTTTCACATTGTTCAGTTATAAATGAACATATCTTATAGGCACGCCTAATGAATGTGCGTAGAGAAGTGATAGATATGGTCTCCACCTGCAATATGATCACGCTATATGCACTGGACTCTGCCCTTAGACTCTGCTGATGCTTTAAACGGCACGCATTGTATGTGCGCATAATGAATCTGATTAGTATTATTTTTATGTTTTTTATTCTGCAAATTTCCGCACTTAGGTATTTATTCAATACTGCCACCGTGATGATGCGATAGCAGGCTTTAACGTAGCCTGCCTTTCATGCGTGTAGCCATGGGGGAGGGCAAAAGCCACCCCCCAAAAAAGTTTTCAATTTGGCTTGTCTATGTATGCGCACACACATGCAAACGCACGCGCGAACAAACATAAAGATGCATAAAATATGACTGAAGCCCCGCCCCTCAAAAAAAAAAAAATAAAAATAAATCTATAGCTACGCTGCAGGGCCAGCTGGGTACCCACAAGCGCTGCTGTGAACCAGCCTCATTAGACTTACTGCAAGCTGCGCCGATATTTATTGTTCACACCGACGTAAAAGATGTATTACGCTAATGGTCGATTGATTGATATGTGGGGTTTAACGTCCCAAAACCACTATATGATTATGAGAGACGCCATGGTGGAGGGCTCCGGAAATTTAGATCACCTGGGGTTCTTAAACATGCACCCAAATCGTACTGCCGCGTATAGCGGGTGCGCTATGTCACCTCCAAAATCTCCCAGCATACACGAAGCTGTATGCTGTATACACGAAGAATGCGGGGTTACGTGTGGGTTAAACGCATCCGCTTACCTGACTCGACGCTTGAGAATGAACCCGGCTGTACACAGTGTACCGCTGAAGAATGCCATTCGCCCTAGGCGGTGGAAGCCAGCTGATCAGGATGGCGTCTGGTGTCAGAACCAGTGCCTTGATGTCGGCGGGTGCCTCTGGCACTGCAACGTTTAGCGCCTAGTCAATGGATACCTTCATCATCATCATCATCATCATCATCATCATCATCATCATCATCAACAACAACAACAACAACAACAAGTGAATTGTAGTACAACGACCCCTTCCCGTTATAAACACTGGGTTTTTTGGAAACGGCTGACTCAAAGCTTCACTAGTGGTCGCGAGCTTCACTAACGCAAAGAAATACAACGGAAGCCGGAAAGAAAGACGAGAAAGAGTGTTTGACTTAGTCTGATTTTACAGCGAAAGCTTTTATGAGATCACTTTTCGGGTCACGCGCAGTTGGATGTTGTCCGCCGCCGCCGCCGCTGTTCGTAACCACATCGCGCGATACTAGAAAAAAAAAAAAACCTTGCACGAATGACACAGTAGGTTTAAAATTCTTACTGTGCAAGCATTATTAAAGATATACAGTTCACACCAAAAACTCTCATTTCACGCTTTCATTCAAAAACCGGCTTTATTTTTCTAAACCCATTGGTCACGGCTACACACTCTGCAAATAGTATTTGCACAAGCGCTACTACAGCAACTGAATGTAAAAATTAAACATACTGGTCCAATACACAACCTAAAGTCAATGCTTAGCATACAATTTGATGATATATTTCCTCATAACGCGAAACAATTGGCACATAGGTATTTAAATGACCAGTCAGCAGATTATCTAGCTCACCTAGAGATAAGCAATATCATAGCGACTGATGCATCTGTGTCAAAAGAAAAGGCTGGGGTTGGCATCATCTCTCCTTCTTTGGACTGGACCTTTTCGATTCGACTCCCAGATTATACCCCGATATTCATTGCAGAATTATTGGCCATTGTTCTTGCCCTACGCAAATTGCCCTCAAGCGAATCATTAGCAGTTATCATTACAGATTCGTTATCAGTTTGTAATGCACTTTCTGCGGCAGTAAATGCAGAGCTGATGAATACGTTTCAGCATTTAGTACCGAAAAACGTAAAAAAACTGCATTTGCTGTGGGTACCGGGCCACCGCGGATTATATTTGAACGAAATGGCGGACTCTTTAGCAGCAGTATCCCTGTGTGGGCCCACCATCCCAGTTTTGCCAGATACGGCTTACGTGACAGCGCTAAGGTTCCGAAATGCTTGCCGGCAATGGGGAGAAGGTAATTTGGATAAATTCAAAGATTTGGAGCATTTGAGCTATTGCTGGAATAAACAGTGGTGTGTATTTCGCCAGTTAGAGGTCACTTATACCAGATTGCGCTGTGCAGTTCCACAACTAAATTATTACCTTAACAAAGCTCGACTCAAGGCGTCACCGCTATGCATTTGGTGCAACGAAATTGAAACAATTGAACATTTCTTTTTATTCTGCCAACGTTATTCTTATCAGAGAAAAAAATTTTAGTAGCCTCATTACAAAAGCTAGGAATACAAGTAAATCTACCAGTAATTTTATCACTTGGCGGAACTTCCTGTGGTTACTGCCACAGGGATGTATGCTCCACTGTGTTTGATTACATCAACGCAACTAAAAGATTACCGTGCTAGTGAACCCCAACCTTTTCAGATCTTTAGTTTATAATTCGTAGTTATGTCTATCAAAAACAAGAGATGGTTTGACCGCTTGCTCAGCAAACATTTTTGTTTGGTACAATTATTTATAAACTACTTTTTCAGATTAGCTTGATTTTCATTTTAGTTTCATTTAGGTATTCTGCCGCCCGACTCTTGGCCCATCCCCGTCTGTGGGTGAGCGCCATCCATAAGAGGTCATCATCATCAGTTGGGCTTGAACACGGGTCCACTATGTGCCAGCCCAATATTTTGCCACGGAATTACGCCGGTGCTAGTACCTTGCTGTCAAACTTGCCTTGGGCAGGCATGACCTAGTACCAATGCCACATTGGGGCTCGAACTTGAGTCCACTGGGTGCGAGCCCAGTATTCTACCACTGAGCTACACCGGTGCTCGTGACATGAATTCAAACTTGCCTTAGCCAGGCTTGATGTCGGGAAAGCAATCACGTTCATGCCACTTATAACGTGTTTTACTACAGCGAAAGACCAACCAGTCATCGCACAATGCGATTAGCCATAACGAGTGGGCCGTCCATTGCTTCAATCCATTACAAAAGCTTGTTCTTGTTTTCCTATCAAGTGTGGCACATACCAACTTTGATAATTCCTCATCGTCGTCAGCCACTGCATGGACAATTGGTGCCAAATTCCTTGCGAGTGATTAGCGGATACCATGCTTCTCAGAAAAATGACGAAAAATAGCAAAGCGAATGCTGGCCTACTACCCAGAAGTTTATTATTATTGCCCTAGTGGGTACCAAGCGTGTTTGCAGTAGTTACGCAATGAGTGTTTTGAAAAAGCTCTGAAAGACCGCTCTTCTAGCTTTCGCTGTGACTGTGCTGCGCCTACTGCGCAGGCCAGGCGTTTTTTGACGTTTTCAGCGGTTTGGTTGTTCTAGCTTACTGAGCTGTACGTGCGATACTCAAGTCTAACAGCCTAAAGCCGAACCTAAATCTTTTGTAGCCTCACGCCTTATGTTTCGACTAGACCGGAGCACTCGTACAGGTGCCTCAAAAGGTGAAACGGTGCACGTGGGTTGCGGCTGCACGGGGCGATAGTCCCTGGATAATTTTTGAAAAGTACCATCGTTCTTTTAACCGAGTCCTCACGCTCCGCAACCTCCTCTACCGCCTCCTCGGCTGTCATTCTAGAAAGGTCACAAAAATCGCGCGCGTTATAAGCGTGACATGGCATTCTGATAGAAAAGTGGCGCGATCTGTGTTGTAGGGTCGGCGCATGCCCGGTGGTTGTGTGGGAGAGGATATGGACAAGGTTCGGACACTCGCGAAAGGAGGGTTGGACACTTTGGAGATGATATGGTAGAGAGTGTCGCTACTTCTCAATACTAAGGGACTCTATGAGAAACTGCATGCTAACGCGCTCATTCAGGAGTGCTAAGGATAGCGAGACACTTGCAACGCTTCGTGCCTTTGTTTGCCCGCGTCGTGACAACATGTTCGGAGGTACGTGCTTTCTGCACCCCCAAAAATGCCTCCACTTTCGCCCCCTCGTGAGCCGTAATAATGAAAATTGGTAGATCCCACGTACAGTGAAAATCGATGATATGCGAAGCACCAATGAGGAAGGTTGAATTGTCACAATAAAATCAGCACAACGTTACGAGGCAGACGTAAATTACGCCGTACATGGCTTCCATTTCATGATTATTATATTTTCGCCTGGAATTTGTGCTCAGTCGTCGATTGCCGTCACGTAATACCAATTGTTGTATATGTGAAGCTAGCAAAACGGCCACGAGCGCGCTATGAGCGTAGCATGAAGTCATAATTTACGTGACACGCATGTCATGATTATCATGTTTCGACGTGTCATTTTGTTGCCCATTTGCGTTATTTATTTATTTTTTTATTTATAGCAATACCCTCAGGACCAATGGCATTATAAAGGGGAGTGGGTACATTCATAAGAATAACAAACAGAAACGCAGCAAGCAAGCAGAGCTGTACACAACAAGCGAGAATTACAAAATGTTGACTGTGGCATTTTTGAAAAGCGTGTGATTTACAATGGTTGCTGTAGGAGAGGGAAGCCGATTCCATTCAAGTGACGTACGGGGAATAAATGATTGAGAAAAAGCGGCCGTTTGTCTTGATGCAATACCGACTTCGTGAGCATAATCAAGGCGAGAAAAAACGTACAATGGAGGCAAAATGAGTTTTTCACGCAGATGTTGGTGATAAAATATTTTGTGAAACAAAGAAAGTCGAGAAATTTTACGTCGAACTGCTAGGAATTGAAGGTTAAGGGTAGATTTCGTTGTTGTTACGCTGGCGGTTCGGTTATAGTTAGACAGGATGAAACGGGCAGAATTTCTGTGTACCATTTCAAGTGAGTTTATGAAATTGTTACATTTAGGATCTCAAATACACGGGGCGTATTCTAATTTAGAACGAATAAGTATTTTGTACAACAGTAGTTTAAGAGAAGATGGTGCCTTAGCAAAATTACGCCTCAGGTAACCCAGCATGCGGTTTGCATTGTTAATAATATGTTCAATGTCCAGGTGAGGTTGCTAGTAATGTTAACACCGAGATATTTATAGGAAGAAACAGAGTCTATGGCGATGCTCTCAAGGAAGTAAATATGTAATTGGTTATTTTTTCTGGATACACGCATAAATTTACACCTGCTAACATTGAGTTCCATGCGCCACTTTAAGCACCAAACCGTTATAGAATTCCGGTCAGTTTGGAGGGTGATAAGGTCACCGTCACAGATTATTTCTCGGAACACTACGCAATCGTCAGCAAATAAATTTATATTAGATGAAACGCACAACGTTAAATCATTAGTATATATTAGGAAAAGCAGAGGGCCGAGAACAGAACCTTGTGGCACACCGGATTGAACGAAGGTATTATTAGAATTACGGTTGTTAATCGAAACGAACTGCGAGCGAGTAGTTAGAAAAATCTCAAGCCATGCAAGAAGTTTCGGTTCAATATTGAGCTGGCGTAACTTGTGTAGTAGTAGTTTATGGCACGACTTGTCAAATGCTTTTGAAAAAGTCTAAATAAATGCAGTCAGCAGATGATGATCGATCAAGTATGACACGAAGCTTGTGTGTGAAAGATACTAACTGTGTTTCACATGAGTAACTTTTGCGAAAACCATGCTGTGATCGCGTAAAGAATGAATTTGATTCTAAAAAGTTAACAAGGTGTGAAAAAAGAACACGTTCGAGTATTTTACAAGGGATCCTAGTAAGTGAAATGGGTCGGTAATTAAGCGGCGAGTTTTTGTTTCCTGATTTATGAATCGGAATCACCTTCCCCACCGTCCAGTCGGCAGGCGAACAACCGTCGTCAAGTGATTGCTGTAAAATTTTTGTTAAAATGATAGATGAAAAGGCGCAAGTGCTCTGCGAGAATTCAGGGCTGATGTCGTCACAACCAGGAGCGGAAGAAACTTTGAGTGTTTTAATTAATATTTTAATTTAATACCAAATTGGGTAAATGTGAAGCTAGCAAAACGACCACGAGCGCATCATGATCGGGGCATGTAGTCATCTTCTTACATGAGACGCATATCATGATTATCATGTTGTTGCCCCAAAGTGGTGGCCTGTGGCTAAGGTACTCAGCTGCTGACCTACAGGTCGCGGAATCGAATCCAGGCTGCGGCGGTTGCATTTTCAATGGAGGCGAAAATGCTGGAGGCCCGTGTGCTCCAATTTGGGTGCGCGTTAAAGAACACCAGGTGGTCCAAATTTCCGGAACCCTCCAACATGGCGTCGCTCATAATCATATAGTGGTTTATCAGTGATGATTATCATGTTTCCACCAGTCATATCCTTTCACCATGCGCTCACGTCACGTAGAGCCAAATTTGGCGTATGTGAAGCTAGCAAAACGACCGCGAGCGTATCATGAGCATGGCATGTAGGCATATTTTACATGACAGACATGCCATAATTATCATGTTTGGACGCGTTATATAGCCCCGCCGTGGTGGTCTAGTGGCTAAGGTACTCGGCTGCTGACCCGCAGGGCGCGGGTTCAAATCCCGGCTGCGGCGGCTGCATTTCCGATGGAGGCGGAAATGTTGTAGGCTCGTGTGCTCAGATTTGGGTGCACGTTAAAGAACCCCAGGTGGTCTAAATTTCCGGAGCCCTCCACTACGGCGTCTCTCATAATCATATAGTGGTTTTGGGACGTTAAACCCCACATATCAATCAATGGACGCGTTATATACTTTTGTCGTCCGTTCGCGTTATTTAATACCAAATTTGGTATATGTGAAGCTAGCGAAACGTCTGCGAGCGCCTCATGAATGGCATGCAGTCATGTTCTTACAAGACACGCATGCCATGATTATCATGTTTGCATCAGCCACATACCTTCGTCATCCATTGACGTCACGTAATACCGAGTTTGGCATATGTGAAGCTAACGAAACAGCCGCGAGCGCATCATCAGTGTGGCCTGTAGTCATGTTGTTACATGACACGCTTGTGGTGATTATCATGTTTGGATGTGTCATTTACCTATGTCGTCCGTGCGCGCCACGCAATACCCAATTTGTTGTATGTGAAGCCAGAAAAGCGACCGTATCATGAGCGTGGCATGCAGTCATGTTATTACATGACACGCATTTCAAGATTATCATGTTAGCACCAGTCATACACCTTCTTCATTCGTTCATGTCACGTAACACCAAATTTTGTGTATGTGAAGCTAGCAAAAGACTAAATTGTTAGAAGCCGTTGGCGAATCGTACTGGTATAGCGCGCGCTTTTTCAGGGGTGAAGCTCCTAAAGCCGCGGGTCTGTCCCTTCTAGCTCGTACGTGACCAACCATAGTTGAACGACTCATTCAGCAGGTGCGGGTGGACGGACGGATGGATGGATGGATGGACGACCACCGATAAAACTATCCGAAGCTTCGCCCCACTCATCCTCATTCTCTCCATGGATATGCTGGAATATATATATTTTTTTCGCCAGACTTCGTGCACTTTCAGGCAAACCCCACCACACCGAATTTTCGACTAAAAGGACAATGAAGGTGACGAGCTTATTGAAAAAAACTGCACACGTGTGGTGCAGGCCACTTCACTCGCTAAACGAATGGAGCGTTTCCCTCTTGGGTTAACTCAGTAGTAAGCTCTGCAGCAGCTGGAAACAGACGACAGCAGCGACTGCACTGGCTATATAGCTGCTGCAGGGGTGCTAGCATAGCATAAAATATAAGGAACAAGGCATCACTGCAGTGGTGCCTTATACCTTATGCTATGCTATTGTTATCGTCCAACACTCGCGGATACGTGATCACGTTGATAACGGGTAACGCGGACGGACCGTCATTCTAACCACTGACCAAGCGCGAAGAGCGTTGATATCGGAAAAGGCGTCGTTCCACGATTGCTCCCCCTGTACGAGCGGTTGAGAACATGCTTCCAAATTTGCGCGTGTTGCCGATGGACGCTTCTTCACGAGTTCCGTCTGCACGGAGCCTTACGAATGCTGCAGCAAGTCGTGTGGGGGGAGTGATTGCAATCTTACCATCCTCGGGTGTTGTGCAGTGGACTGGCTCGCTGAATGCTCCCGGGCCAGCACCAGTGCGAGCGGCTACGCGGACGCTGTAGTTGTGGAAGGGCTCCACGCCGTTGTCAAGCATGACCGAAGTGACGTCGGAAGACACGTCGTGCTCGGTCCATGCCGGCCCCGTCCGCGACGACGCCGTCTCGACTTCTTCTGGTCCTGGAACAGCGAACAAGGTGAGGATGCAATGAAGATGTGAGGGGTACGACCACTTGATATTCGAAGTATTTGTCATTTTTAATGCAAAGGGATAAAGAAGAGAATGGATAAGTGAAAAGCCGGGTGATTAACCGGGCTGCGATCGTTGTCAAACCTGAATATATCCATTGCCTGTCACTGGGCTGGAGGTTTTTGCATGCGCATGTGTTTACTTTTTCTTTTGATGTGCACTTGATTCGACGGGAATTTTCTAATATTTCTCCGCTATGGTGGCCCTCTATCTTCGGTTCTCTCGCAGACAGACTCTAACATTTTGTATAACAGGGAGAATCAAAAACTTCCGGCTGAGGCAAATGAAAAATTACCAACAATTACGATGCTGCGCAATTCGAATTCTTGGTGCCCACTTCGTGTTTGGACAATGCAATTGTAGCAATGTAACATTTTTTTTTACAGATTGCCACAGAAACTGTGTGTGCTGAAGTGCTTCGCAGTCCCTTCTGTGCGGTGCAGGTGTCGCGAGCAACGCGAAATGACGACAATTCTGTTGGGACAAGCAAATAGTGATGCAGGACTACCGCTAAATGGGCTATCAATAGCATCGATAGGTTTTTTGAAACTATTTGGAGTACTAGTATCTATAAACTGTTGACAGTCTAACCAAATGTTCAATGCATGGTACCCTGGGTAGCATTAGTACAGGTAATACTATTGATAATGCTGTGAAAAATTAGGCGCCCCTGAAGCTTCGCCTTTAGGAGTTGAACGCGATAGTCCCATCCTGTTCTTAGGTGGTATTTCAAACACTTAGTGCATAAAACCTTTCCGAATATGGTATGCACCCACTATACGTGGCCTTGAGGAAATAGGCGCAGTAGCATGTGTGCCTTTTGTAGTGAGGTACTCTCTTTCAACTACGGAGTCATTGCGATAATCACATATTCGGACGCCCGTTGGCAATGGACGCTTGTACTCGCGTTATTACTGCAATATTTCGTGTTGCATTGCAAAGCATTTATACAGGACGCGTGTGTTTGTGAATCGTGAAGGCTACTTTCACTGCATTTCTTAGCAGAGGAAGTTCTGTTCACTGTTTTCACAAGCAGGGGCGTGGCCGTGTGGTAGGAAATCCACTTGCCACGCAAACGACCCGGGTTTTATGCTCACTCGGACCCAAACAACCCTGGTTCGGTCCCGACTTTGCTCTTGGATATTTATCATTTATTTATATTATTTGCATTCTCAATTTCTCAGTCACGCACAAGATGATGATTTCTCGCTCACAACCGACGACGCCGACACCGGAATTTCTGCGAAACGAGCTGTTTAACGCTATTGCGTTATTAATTATGTCTTTGTTGGCCGGTGGTATTGCCAACGCCTTCACGTGATACCCTATTACTTATCAACAAACAAGAAATTTCTGTGTGAAAATTCCGAATTATATTCATATAAAAGTTCACATTCAAAAGAAATTACTTAGACCTTATAGTTAACAAAGCTAGCAGTAAGGTACATAAGTGGGTGAGCCGTAAACGATGCATGTTTCTAAAAAAAAACCGAGTGTGAATAAGACGGATCACAAGTAGAGCAGGACACAGTTTAGCACTCGTACTTCGTCTTTTTATTCTTCTGGTGTGTCTTGTTCACTCTGATTAAAGAAAAACACATAACAAACATACTTCTGGATTTTGTTTATCTTGGTATGTAAAATCCTAACACTCACTACTCAATAGTTTCATCTTTAAATCACAACATGTGATATACATTTGAAGCCACGAAGTTCGAACAAATGCAACGGCTTCCGTTCTGCTACAGTTGAATAGTTCTACTTGATTTATCATTTGTCAGCGAAGCATTCCAGTAAAAGGATTAGGACGCCCTGCCGTGGTGGTCTAGTGGATAAAGTACTCGGCTGCTGGCCCGCAGGTCGCGGGATCGAATCCCGGCTGCGGCAGCTGCATTTCCGATGGCGGCGGAAATGCTGTAGGCTCGTGTGCTCAGATATGGGTGCACGTTAATGAACCCCAGGTGGTCAAAATTTCTGGAGCCCTCCACTACAGTGCCTCTCACAATCACATGGTGCTTTTGGGACGTTAAACCTCACATATCAATAAAAAGAATTACCACTTTTTCGCCCTGCTGGCTGCTTCTTCTGCTTCGCCGTTTACCGCGCACCCGAAGAATGAACTTTATGCTGTGATGAATTCGTGCGGCTGATTGTATAATATTGATACTGTGTTATCAAACCTACCACCGACAGCGCTATAGTCTTTTACCATAGATAGATACTATAAATGCCAACACTGCATGCGCACAAGCTCCGACAGAGGGCAGCACGCGTAACAGAAGAAAAAAGTCAGGTTGGAGGCCAGTGACTCGTGACGTCGACAGACTACGCATTCACTCATTTTCGTTGTCGTTTGCTCTATCAGTTACGGCACCACCGACATCGACGCCGCTCAACGCTTGAGCAGTGAGTAAGAACTGCGTTCTAATAAGAAAACAAGCATAAGTTATGACGTGCATACCGTTGTCGTTGTGTTCAGTCAAGCCACTTACGTAGCTTTTAGACCAATGACATCATCCAACATGTATGTGCTTAAAAAATAAAATTGAATTCGCAACGCCCGGGAGGTAATGATCACAGTGATGAACGCAAAATGCTCACCATAAACATTGTGGTCAATCATCTTGTAGAGAACACGGTAACCCTTGTGGAAGCCATCCAAGCTCTGCTCGTGTAGCACGGCCCATGAGACACGAAGGCTTGTGGCTGAACTGGCTGAGCAGTGCACGCCTGACGGGGCCACATGAGGTACTGAGGATAAGGCAATAGCGTATAATTGCACCAGCTCTGAAGACAAGGGAATTGCGCAAACTGGGGTTGGTGTAAAGCTCCACCGATTACAAAGCACGCAGTGCAGAATTAACCGTCGTCATTACCAAGAGCAGCAAAAAAGTGCGCAGCTGTGAAACGTGCATGTTGCTTTAAGGACGTGTAGTGCGTACTTCTCCAATTCACAAATAGGAATAATTATACACTCTTTTCGCAGAAGCTTCACAGGATACTTTAAACGACCAATTGTATGTGCATGAACCTTCTTTGTCTTGCGGCACAGTCGAAGGCGATGTGCACAAGGCCCGATTATACTCGTTAAGGTGAAGCTACTTCCATTTTTTACGGTGATAGGAATAATACAGACGCTCTCGCTGCTTTTTTGCCGTCGCCGTCATGTCCCAAATATGTACACCCGCGCTGAATATGACTTGCACCGCAAGAGAACGTGACCTCAAGAGTTCAAAAATCAGACCTGACCTCCACTTGCCCTTGTTTCCATTACTAAACGTGTTTCTCTCCTTCAGATATGATCCCAAATGAGAAAGTAATATTTGTGTGCGTAAATAAAAAAGTTGAAGCAATGGACAACATTTAAAGTCTTGAGGCCGCGCACTCCCCTGTTGCAAGTCATAATGAGCATGCATATATATATATATATATATATATATATATATATATATATATATATATATATATATATTATATATATATATATATATATATATATATATAGATATATATTGTTATGGCGTTTATTAGCAGGCACACAGCGAGTATAGACAATGGCGACAGTAACGGCCAAGCACGGACTCCCAGCGCGAGCGGCGTCCTTTTTTGGGTAGACCCACTAGAGAACACTTGAGAGTTTGACCCACTTCAGTGTTCGGCGGCTTCTCTACAATCACCCCGGGGTCGAAGAGGGAGCCGCCTGGCGACCTAGCAGCTTGTCACTACGAGTGGGTCATAGTAAGCCTTCAGGCGCTCCACGTTGACTATGTCGCGCCCGCGGCGGCGCATGTCCGAAGATTGTTCAATTGGCTCGATAAGATAGTTGACCGGAGATGTGCGCTCGATCACACGGTAGGGACCTTCATATTTCGGGAGTAGTTTGGAAGAAAGGCCAGCTACAGCGGTCGGGATTGAGAGCCATACAAGGGAACCAGGAAGGAACGTGGGTTCAGAAGTGACGGAGCCATCACGAATACTCTTCTGCTGCTCTTGCTCATGCGTCGTAAATGTCTTGGCCAGCTCGCGACACTCTTCAGCAAGCCTGGCTGTCTCGGAAATAGGTGCACACTCAGATGGATCCGGCGTGTACGGGAGTATAGTGTCGATGGTGTGTGACGGGTGCCTTCCGTACAGCAAGAAGAAAGGTGAAAAACTGGTCGTGCTCTGAGGGGCGGTGTTGTAGGCGTAGGTGACGAAGGGCAGTATAGTATCCCAATTCGTATGGTTGGCGGCGACGTACATCGAAAGCATGTCGCCGAGGGTGCGGTTAAAGCGTTCGGTCAGGCCATTCGTCTGCGGGTGGTAAGCAGTTGTTTTGCGGTGGACAGAATGGCACTCCATGAGAATGGCTTCGACGACTTCTGACAAGAAGACACGGCCTCGATCGCTGAGAAGCTCCTGAGGTGGACCATGGCGCAGTATAAATCGGTGCAGTAGGAAGGATGCAACATCACGCGCAGTAGCCGCAGGGATAGCGGCGGTTTCGGCGTATCGCGTTAAATGATCTACGGCGACGATGGCCCAGCGGTTACCAGCCGACGTCAGAGGGAGTGGTCCATACAAATCGATACCTATGCACCCAAACGGACGCTCAGGGCAAGGTAACGGTTGCAGACTGGCTGGCGACATGTGTGCTGACGGTTTGCGGCGTTGGCAAGCGAGGCAGGAGCGAACGAACTGCTGCACGTAGCGGTACATCCCGCGCCAGAAGTAGCGTTGTCGAATGCGACGGTAGGTTTTGAATACCCCAGAGTGCGCGCATTGAGGATCAGAGTGGAAGGATTCACAGATCTCTGACCGCAGACTGCGGGGTATCACGAGTAACCACTGCCGGCCATCGGCGTCGTAATTGCGTCGGTGTAGAAGGCCGTCACGGATGGCGAAATGGCGAGCTTGACGACGCAAGGCACGCGTGGATGGCGTTGCGGACGGATCAGTGAGCAAGTCGATGAGCGGGCCGATCGAATTATCTTTTCGCTGTTCGGTAGCGATGATGTCAACATCAATGGCAGAAACTGCAGTCGAGGATACTGAGCAGAGCACATCACCTTCAGGCAGAGGGGAGCGCGAGAGGGCGTCAGCGTCAGCATGCTGGCGTCCGTTGCGGTAAAGCACGCGGATGTCGTAGTCTTGTAAGCGAAGAGCCCAACGGGCGAGACGGCCTGAGGGATCCTTCAATGATGAAAGCCAGCATAGTGCATAATGGTCGGTGACGACATCGAATGGGCGACCATACAAAAAGGTCGAAACTTTGTAAGGGCCCACACGATCGCCAGGCACTCTTTCTCCGTGACGGTGTAGTTTGTCTCGGCTCTCGTGAGCGTACGGCTTGCATATGCTACGACATATTCAGGGAATCCGGGTTTGCGCTGCGCCAGGACAGCGCCGAGGCCTACACCACTGGCGTCTGTGTGCACCTCCGTCAGGGCCGTAGGGTCGTAGTGGCGTAGAATGGGAGGAGACGTCAGCAAATGGCGGAGCTTCGCGAACGCGTCGTCGCACTCAGACGACCACGAATTGAGGGGCCCGTTACTTCCAAGGAGCTTCGTCAGCGGTGATATAATCGTAGCAAAGTTTCGTATGAAGCGTCGGAAGTATGAGCACAGGCCAACGAAACTACGCAGTTATTTGACGGACGCAGGTTTGGGGAATTCAGCCACGGCCCGAAGCTTGGCTGGGTCAGGAAGGATGCCATCCTTAGACACGACGTACCCTAGGATGGTGAGTTGCCGTGCTGCAAAGCGGCACTTCTGCAGATTTAGTTGCAAGCAGGCATTGCTCACACGTGCGAAAACTTCTTTCAGACGTTGGAGATGCGTGGAGAAATCTGGGGCGAACACAACAACGTCATCGAGGTAACACAAGCACGTGTGCCATTTCAAGTTGCGCAGAACGGTGTCCATCATGCGCTCAAAGGTCGCAGGAGCATTACATAGACCAAACGGCATGACGTTGAATTCGTACAAGCCGTCGGGTGTGATGAACGCAGTCTTCGGTCGAGCGTCATCAGCCATGGGTACTTGCCAGTACCCCGAGCGCAGATCGAGAGAAGAAAAAAATTCGGCTCCGTGAAGGCTGTCAATTGCGTCATCGATGCGCGGCAGTGGGTAAACATCCTTGCGCGTGATCCTATTGAGCCGTCTGTAGTCCACACAGAACCGCACAGAACCATCTTTCTTCGCGACAAGAACAACAGGAGACGCCCAGGGACTGTCCGAGGGCCGAATAACGTCGCGTCTGAGCATATAATCAACCTGCTCGTTAATTTCCCGACGTTCAGCAGGCGACACGCGGTAGGGACGTTGCCGTAATGGCGGATGGGCACCAGTGTCGATACGATGTGTAACAGCGGACACGCGACCGAGAGAACTTCGGCCGACATTGAAAGAAGAATGATATTCTCGCAGCAGGTCCAGAAGCTGGGAACGCTGTACCGACGTAAGATTGTCATCAATGTAGGGGCCAAATACATCAGGAGATGATGAATCATAAGTGGAAACAGCGCTTACGGTACACGAACTGGGACAATGCGAGTCATCAGGTACGTCCAGAACTTGTGCGTTATCCACTGGTTCCACTCTGCCGAGACATTCCCCTCGAACCAAGGTAACAGTGTACGGGGATGGGTTGGTCACAAAAATAGCGGCGTTGCTCTGGGTGATTTGCACGGTCGCGAAAGGTACTAGCAACCCTTTCCTTCGGCAAGCACGGTCGGATGGCGAAACGAGCGCAATTGTGTCGGAGAGTCCAGCGCAGTAGACAGGTACACCCATCGCCGAGCTTGGAGGCACTAAGGTGTCGTCTTTCACGAGAATCTTACTCAGTTTTGAGGGACTGTCTTCCGGCGTCAAATACGAGAAGGGTGAGAGTTCAATTTCGGCATTGGCACAATGGATGACGGCGTCGGTGCGGGAAAGAAAATCCCACCCCAGGAGGACGTCATGAGAGCATGCAGGAATGATGATGAATTGGCCGACATACAGAACGTCCTGAACGACAACGCGAGCTGTGCACACTGCTGAAGGATGAATACGATGCGAACCGGCAGTACGAAGGGACAACCCAGAAATCGGCGTCGTTACTTTTCGAAGCAAACGGCAAAAGTTTTGGTCCATAACGGATACTGCAGCTCCAGTGTCAATAAGAGCAGACGCATGAACACCGTCCACAAGCACGTCGATGACATTAGATGGGCGGCTCTGAGGGCTTTCACATCGCAATAGCATCGCAGTCCTTGCCTCGGGGACTGCGACGACTAGTTTTCCCGCTCATGAGTAGCCGAACTTGGCCTCATGGGGGACAGGGAACGACGTCGTGGAGACGGCGACCTTCGAGGAGATGGACCTGGGCGAGACGGCGGTGGCATAGACGGTGGTTCGTCGTGATAGGGACGGCTGAGGTGGCCAGCACTAGGCGAAGAAATTCGAGCCGGCTGTACACGATGGCAATAACGGGCTACGTGACCAGCGTAACCACAGGCAAAGCACGGACTCCCAGCGCGAGCGGCGTCCTTTTTTGGGTAGACCCACTAGAGAACACTTGAGAGTTTGACCCACTTCAATGTTCGGCGGCTTCTCTACAATATATATATCCTGCTTACAGTTGGTAATTTTTTCATCCACTTTTCTTTCTTCTTATTTACATTCCATTAATGTTAATAACTTCCCCTGTACATTCCTTGGCATTACTGTCTGTTATATCTCATTATTATTGTGTTAAAACACGGAAAAACGAGCCCTTAGGTATACACTTCTTTCCCTTATTTTATATATATATATATATATATATATATATATATATATATATATATATATATATATATATATATATATATATAATTCCGAAGCACCTGACGCTTGATTTGAACCAGCGACCACTCGCCGCGCCGCCTTAGAAAACCCGGTCACACGCCATGCATGCTCCAGTGCTCCAGCGTAATAACGGCTAGCTATTTATATGGACCACATACCACAGGCGGTACGCAGATCCTGGAGGCGTTTGAGTGTGTTTTCTATTATGCAACACTTCTACATTTTCTATATTTAGAAACTGCCCTTAAGAAGCGCACAAATAAGTGGCTCCTTCCTGTGCTCACTCGTCATGATATGGAAAAAAATATCTACGAAGTCCATGATAAGTGGGCAAATCAGTGGGACTGTTCGGTGTTACCGCAATTAACATATGACATTTCACATATCTAAATGATTGACAAATCGGTGTACAGTTATAAACAATGCTTATTAGATTAAAAACGGCTATGTTGCGTTGAGTTGTGACTTCCGTTTTGTTTACCTTATTACAGTTTTGCAGTATGGGATCTAACCTGAGGTTGGTAAAAACGAGGACTGGGCGCATTTCCCTCGTTGTTGTTGCTTGTTTCCTGTCATACGAAAAGCATCTTAGAGCATATCGAGAAGTCATATAGTGCATAAGCCAGTCGTTGACCGTCATCATCATCGTCATCATGTTCATCGTCATCAGCGCCATCGTCACCACGGCTACGGCAAATGCCAACGCCGCCAACGGAAAAGCCTTGACTTTAAGGCGCTTCGCCGCTAAAACCAAGGTAGTAGGGCACACCTTGCGTCAGATGCCACCGCGTGGAAGGAGACGCAGAAAGTACACTACATGCACCGCGATTTAAAATAAAACAGAAGTTTATAGAAGCTTCGGGTCCTGCATAGTCCAAAAATGCTGCGTACTGCTCAAAGATAAAGCCATAAAAAGCGACAGTGTTTAGTTCACTTTTGTTCTGTGCACACCTGCGCGTGTTTTTTCGAGCACCTTCCTTTGTGCTTCAGAGGCATGCTAAAAGTTTCGAGGTCATAGAGAGACATTCTGATTTTTCGCTATCGCACTCATTGCTCCACCCTTGTGGTGAAACTGACTTTTCTGACGTTTTGACATGTCACAATTCTCACCTTGACATTTTTGGGTCAGTATTGGCTAAGCGACTAAACTGGACCCGTCCGCTATTCTTGTCCCCTTATTTTATAGAACATACTTTTGTTTATATGGTGATTGAAATAAGAAAACAGCAATAAAATATACAGACACTGTTTTGTTTGCCCTTTGTTTCGAAACTTGCAAGTAATCATGAAAAAGCGACATTATGACTCTTGAGCTAAGCCAGGGAAATGTTACGAAGCTCGCATCTCTGTGCCTTGAGTAGCTCGGCTTTATTCTCTCCCTTTATTTCGCGAGTGGTTGTTGCAGCTCGCGACCGAGGCGTCACCGCAGCCTTCGTGCGGCACAATACGTAAGCACGGAAAACATACCGCGAATGCAGCTGAGCAACCCGGTAGTGACGCAGAGATGCCAGTGGTGTGCAGGAATTCATGGTATGTCGGCCTCAGCGCTCCCGTCGCCTACCGACCCCGTTAAACGGACCACCGCAGCAGTGTAGGAGCTCGCGAAACGTTGCACGAGATCAGGAGATGCGAGACAGCGTATAGCGAGAAGAAGGCAACGAATATGAAGTACGTGTTAAACAAGGGCTGACGCAAGATTGACGAGCCACACACTTAGAACGAAGCAATTTTTACAGTTAAATTTTTAGACATGGGAAGGACGTCCGAGCTTAGAAGATTGAAACGAAAAATTGAAACTAAAAATAAATAAAATACAGCAATTACAAAATTGTAGGCAGTTGAACTCAGCGTGAAAGCTGTCGAAAGTTCGGTACAGTAATTCATTTGTCCTTTGGTGACGAACTCAAGGAGCGTGTGTTGAGAGGCTAGTTTTGCGACCTCGAACTACAGTTGGTTCGAGACACCAGTGTAGAAGTAGACAGGACGAACGCAGCCGCTGATCACTTCTCCCATCTTTTTTATTTCTTTTCCTGTCACTATTTAGTTCTTTGAAGGGTAATATATTTTCTTTTTACAGTTTTGTAGCAGAGCACATTATACTATTGAAGTCTTTTTAGGTTTGCGTCTAGCATTCGTGTATATTATACTGACTCAATTTTGAAGTGTTAAGAGTATGTCTACCTAATGTGTGCGTGCACTGGTTAAATAAGCTTTCCTTTACTGAGCGTCACTGAAGAATGTGCATTCTTTCAGCGAAGCTCGCCAACATGAGAATGACAAAGCAATGACTCAGGCTCACCATTTCTCCTTTTGATCCTTCTCACCCTCCGATCACTCTTCGTGAACATCGCTTTCCCTTCTACGCTCCTTGTTATATACAGTTATGCTGTATACATGATTGTATCTGCCTACGCCATACATGACTACGCTGATTTTTATCCTATCCCATGCCTCTTTCCATCCTCCTTCGTCCTTCCTTTTCATACTTCCTTGTTAAAAATAGCTATGCGCACTGTCTTGCCTATGTTACGCCGCGCATGACTATGCTGTGCTTTACTTTCTCCCTTTATCCTGTCCATCGTCCTCACCCTCACTTCTTTTCCCCACTTCTTTACACGGCTATGCTTTACGCGACTTTGCTTGCCTCACGACATGCATGACTGCGCTATTCTTTACAATCTCTTTTCCTCCTTTCTAGTTACCTCATCATAACATCCCTCCTACTCATCCTCACGTCTTTTTCTCGCCTCCTTACTACACATGTCTATAGTGCCTAGAATATATTCTAGGCACTATAACATTTTTTAATACATTATTTTGCGTGCGTGACGATGTGGATGAATTTACGAAAAAGAAACTGTTCTTAAATTTAGCTTTCAACCACCAACAGATATTGTATTAGCTATCTTATACCAACGTACTGTTATCACTAAACTACTTCTGTAAGAAGACGTTTTACTTTCGTGTTATACCGATTCCCAAGACCGAGGGATCAACCATGTTTTGTTCTTCATTGCTTACAATTGAACTTTTCAAATATTGGTGAAATCGCCAACTTGTCAATTATGAGTTTATAGAGAGCCTCAAGTAATTATTTGCGCTGAAGTTTGCCTGCCTGTTTTCTTTATAAGAATAAAAGCCAGCGAAACATAAAATAAACAATATGAAATCCGACAGGCCCCATGCAGTGCCCAAGTAGATGTACTGCAAAGAAGCCATTAAGAAACTGCATACGCAACATTGTTTGTTTTGGAGGCAAATCAAGGCATTCATTCCGTGACACGTCGTTAACTTTCGCATGTTTGTGATGCACACATGGATGTATAATCTTGCATGCTAATGAAACGTTTATTTTTGAGTATAAAATGGATTAACTGCTATTTATGTCCTTCATACACTCATGCCATGCCTTACTAATTCTGGTAGATTGGCGTTAACAAAATGCCCCCGATAGCATACAGACCATGACATGTATAAATCATGCCATTCATGACATGCGTACCACGAATTTCACGTTATGGTTTATCCTTTGCACTCGTCCCAAACTCCATACGAATTTTGTTTCATATCCAGCTAACGAAATGGCCATGAGATCTCAAAGTTGTAGGCGGCTAAATTGATACGTTTTAAGTAGCAGAAGTCCGCTAAATGATCAGATCTGAAATAGGCAGGAAAACGATGAGCTTTTTAGGTGAGGTATCTGAAATAGGTTGCTATTTTTGATGCGCGAAAAAACGAACACATTATAAAGTACCCAAACTTCTTTCGGAACACTGTGAGGACTCTTGAGTGCAACATTTCTCAAACTCCTTGCTCAGCACGTGCCCTCTTCGTGCGTCTTAGTAAAACTGCCAGTTTGCAACTTCTCAATTTTGGTGTCCTTATTTAAAGATCACCCCATTATTCGCCACGTGCACTTCATGCGTCACATAACTGCGCTCACCGTCTTCCGCGGTATAGACGACGACCTCGTCTGAACGCGGTCCGGCGCCCACGGCATTGTACGCCTGCACCAACACGCTGTACTTGGTGAACTTGCGCAGGTTGTTGAGCACGCACTCTCCCGGTGCCTCGTCCCCCTCTCCTCCGCTCTCGACCGTCTTGTAGAGGTGCAGGTCGCTCGAATTGTGCAGCTTGTAGCCCACGTAGTAGCCCCGGATGCTGCCGTGACGAAGTTCGGGAACCGGAGGCTGCAAGTGCCAATTTCACTGTTCCCTCTTTCGAACGCTGTCATCACTAGCGCGCTTTCCTCGACAGTATCACTACTCGTAGAGAGACGCCACTGTGATTGTTCTGTGCACTGGACGACGTTCAGAAAGCCACTGACTATATGTGAAACGCAGTAGTAGGAGGTATTTCATGCAGGCGTTGCTATCCCGAAAAAAATATTTCACATCACTATAGTGACAGTGCCGCATTTATTCAAGCGGCTATGCTGCTCAGCTGCTCACGCGAAAGTTGCAAGATCGAATGCCAGCAGCGGCGGCTACATTTCGATACAGGCGATATGCGAGGCCCACGTGCTTAGATTTAGGCGCACCCTAAAGAATTGCTGGTGCTAGAATTTATTGGACTCATCCAATACCGCATCTGCCATAACTATATCAACGTTTTTGAGCGTAAAGCCTCCCACATTATTCTTATTAACATGGTTATTAGTACTGTCGTATTTATTTATCTTAAGTGCTTCGGAAATTTTGGAAACGAGCACCCATTCTTGGGCTGGAGGTTACAAGCCACTTCTCAGCACACTTCAAGAAAACGTTTTCGCTTGCTCTTAGTAAGCGAAGGGCCATTTCTGACATCATTGTGCTAGAAAAACACTATTGTTTTAACAAATAGAATAGTTAAGAACTGTGAAAATAGTTATGCCCTGAACTAAAGGTTTAGTTATAATATTATTAGCGTATTTTTGGATAAAATTGATAAAATATTCCTACAACTAGATGAAGAAAGCTGGATGAAAGGCCCATGTATTCAGTGATTAAATGTAAAATATACGCTTGAGTTCACCATTGCGAAAAATAAAAACGCACGAAAATTTTAGGAGAAATTTCTGTGAGCGTGCACAAGTTATATCGCACGTATTTATTGTGCTAGGTAAACTTTGGGGCATTCCAACTTGGTGGAAATTCTTGATGATTGCATTCATACAAATTCTAGATGTTTGTATTCGTCCAGATAAATGAAAAATGGGTAATGAAAACACTCGTTCTATCATGCATTCATCCCAAAGCAAGCAATTATGAAGGCCAGATGCTTTCGTAAGGCTTACCTTCCAAGTAACCTTAAGAGATTGCGGTCCCAACGTCTGGACGGAAACATGAGTTGGTGGACCCCCAGGCACTGCGACAGAAGGACGAAAAAGTGCATAAAGAATAACTAATAGCATCAGTATTATGAACACGCCAATTAATTAAGCAAGCACAAGCGAGGTTAGATGTGTTCGCTAACTCAGTTCATCGGGTTTCTCTTGATATGGCTGATTTCCTTCTCAATCTTGTCGTTTAGGACGATGAAACACTTTCAGCAAGGCGTTTTTGACGCGTGTGAGTCGGGTAAGTTGCCACGTCGATATAAAGTGTGACATTTGCGTGGTCTATGCTATGTCGACGTCTTTACATTCGAAGCAGGCGTAGTACTCAATTGCTACCTTGTTTGTTTTTTAGCATAAATCACGCCATATATCAACCTGGTTCTATCACACAAACACACACACTTTATATATATATCTATATATATATATATATATATATATATATATATATATATATATATATATATATATATATATATATATATATATATATTGTAAAGGTAAAGAAGTTGATGACGGCATCCCACCGCTACTACCAGTTGTTAAGGGCTCGAAGGAGGTCGATGGCAGGTACGGCGGATTTTCTTTAAGGTAGCTGACTCCCCACCGTTGTCCGCATAGCCGATCTTCGCCAGTGAGGAGACGCGTTCGTAAGATCGAACGAATATTTATTTACATTATAGAAGAAAGATAGGAACTGTACAGGGATTCAGAAGATCCCGCACACATGATTCAACTCAAAATTCAGCACTATTTACAAAAAAAATGCTTCCGCTTTTATAGCCCGCCATCCGAAGGAGGCGGTGATCACTCTTGCCACAAAGCAGGAGACGAAGTTTTTGTGGTCCACCCACCAGAAAGGGTGCAGAAATTGCACCACTCGGCTGGGCGAAACGGTCCAATTGTAACAGGAACGCACCACACAGAGACGCACCCGGCCCACTCCTTGACGGCAACGCAGGACGAGGAGGTAGAGTCCGGAGAGGAAAAGTTGACCTCCTCCGAGGAGATGTCCGCTAACCCGAACGTCAGCAGCGGTCCATGCTGCTTTCAGCTTCAGGCAGTCCAAATGCTCCATCTCGGTGAACGGCTTTTTCGACGCGTTCCCACGCTTCCGGACTGTTGGTGTGTTGAGATGGTCTCGCGTAGATGACAAAAGCCGAGTCAAGAGGTTCACCTAATGAGACCCGCCACAGTGGCGCCGTTCCCCCGTTGTTCGAGCCCGTTCAACAAAAGGCTTGTCTGGCGAAGCTTTCGTTGAGACCCAACTGCTCCCTGGAACATCTACCGGACAGCGCCTTGCAGGCTGGGCGCCGATGGGGTTTAAAGCTTCCCTAATAGACCGGATATATATATATATATATATATATATATATATATATATATATATATATATATATATATATATAGTTTTCACTTAGCCATAGCTTGTACATAGATACTTCGATCACTAATCTCTAAAGGGCATAATGCGGTAAAGCTATTGTCATCGACTAAAGCTGAATGAGTATGCTTGCTTGCTTGAGTAATTCTGATCAGCGTTCAAGAAACCATTAGTTGGTTGTGCTAATTTAATCTATCCATTGAAGCTGCGATTTTCTGGGCAAGCTGGGCTAGATAAGTTGCGCAGGGGCAATAGGAAGAAACGCGAACAGCGTGTGATCTACGCACTCTGATGTCTCACTATTTTTTTTTTCGAGCTGTTGTAGCCTAGATGGTAGGACAGTCAGACATGATACAATGAAGGACCACTTTAGCATCCTTTAATCACCATTAAGGTCAAGGTATGGTGAAAGCAGAGTGCCGCACTGTCTGTGTTTCTTTACAACACTCATGTATGTGTAAGTAACGCTGTAAAAAATGAACAACACGGCTATACTCGTAATCAGGCAAGACACTCGCATGCCGTATTAGAGTCCCTTCGAGCCTTCATACTGCTACACACTCGGACGGTCGCAAACGAGATTACTTAGGTCTGACTTTGTCAGCTGGACTCCGAACGCCTGTGTCGCTATTGCTTGAGATTGCCTTATGAACCTTTTCATTATGCACGCAAGCAAGAGTGTTTTCACCAACCACTACTTGTGCCTGCCGGGCTTCATGCACATAATCAGAAGTCTAACGGGTGAACATCCTAGACGTACTTACGGACTTGAGAGCAAGCTAAAAAAATGTTCAAAGTGAGGCTAACCGTTTTTTTACGTAAACTTTTGGCAGGTGTCGTTAGCTCCTCCTACGTAAGTAATTATTAATTTGCTGGATCGTCGGAAAGACAGCGTATAACCATAGTTTGGCAGATCTGCGTATGTGCATCTGCAAGCACGGACAACCCAAGAGATGTGTTTTTCCTGTAGTACACACTTGAATACGCTTTGCATAGTGCTGCTTCGATCATTGTTAGCTGAAGGCTAAAGAAAAAATCTAAGTATAAATTAAATCTAAAGGCACCTTTTATTCAGCATTCTCCGAGTTACTGACTTAACGTTTAGGAAATAAAACTAAGAAATAATATGTGGGATTTAATGCCTCAAAACCACCATATGATTATGAGAGATGCCGTAGTTGAGGGCTCCGCAAATTTCAACCACCTGTGGTTCTGTAACGGGCACCCAAATTTGAGCACACGGGCCTACAGCATTTCCACCTCCATTGAAAATGCAGCCGCCGCAGCCGGGATTCAATCCCGCAACCTGCAGATCAGCAGCCGAGTACCATAGCCACAGGACCACCACGGCGGAGGAAACTAATAAGGACGCTGAGTATCGAATAGAGATAGAATGAGAAAGAGGAGGGCGCACCTTCCTCGTCCGTGGTGATCATCAATGGCGGCTGGGTGAATGGCCCCACGCCGAGCGCGTTGACCGCGGCCGCCCTCAGGTGGTACGAGGCTGAAGGCTGTAGACTGCGCACTGTCCACGACGTCTGATCGCGACCAGCGCTTACGTTACGGACCCACCGGCCCGCGTCCGCTGACCAATCAACTGCGTACAAGAAATAGACTCCGGTCAATGCAACAGACTTTCGAAAGAAAAGCAGCAGAACACCTAGATATGATTCACGGCACACACAGAACGCCCCTGACTTTCACGTTAAACATCCAATAGCGTCAACCTGCAAAGTGTTTCTTTCCTTACGTCGTGACAGGTACATATCGCAACTTCTTCGCAGAGAAAACATTCCGCATGCGCTGTAGTACGCAAATCTGTGATAATCGTAAAATGATAACAGTGAATGGGAGAGCAAACGTGCTCGCCTTGAAGATGTTCGTTTCTTTTTAATTACACGAGTGCTTTTTTCTCGACGTCTCCCGGGAACTTCACTATCATTCCACACGGCTCACAACACATGTAGCTCACCACACACAAAAATGAGCCAGAGTGCACGCGCAACTGCTTGTACTACAGCAGGTGATGCGCCAGTCTCTGGTACTACTCTGTACTGTACTACTTCGGTACGGTACTGCTCCGTACAGTACTACTCCGGTACTGCTATATACGAAGTAACGCTGTAAAACAAAAAAAAAGATATGTTCCCGAAATTTTCAATGGCAACATATGTACGTGAAGAAGCCCACATGAGTGCTTGAATAAACAGAACACACTAGTTTGGCTAATTCAGCCGTTGCACAGCAAATAGGCTTTTCTTAGTTCTTCCAATGGGAACCGTACTGTACAAAAGGCACGTTTTGCGTTCGACAGTGCGAAATAGGGCTTGGAGATCTTTCTTGTTCACAATCTTCTAAGAGCATTTCGGGCGTTGGGACTGAATTATACATCATTTCATACACATCGTGCAACGCTTTGGAGGCAAGGCAGCAAGTTCAGCTATCAAAACGTGTGCCTTTAGGCGAGACTACATCATTAAAAATTTATTCCCAGCTTCTGCGGATAATTACCTTCAATCACTAAGTGTGTATAAGCTAGGTCTACATATAGGGTTATCTTTATAGACCTAAAAGTTTTACTTGAGTATGAAGCAGTGTGTTGGCAATAAAAACAGCAGCACATATTGGTATTGCAGCTTGAATAAGTGAACATGATTACCTCTATTTGATAGCATGCAGCCTCTTTTTTTTAATGATGTTTCTCATCTGCAGGACTTGCACTTTCAGGCTTCATTTCCTTCCTTTTAAGGAAAGAAGAATCACTTTCCGTTTACTCGTTAATGTGCTTGTAATGAAGCATGTATCTCTTGCCACCGCCCGTGATGGTGATGCAAATGAGTTCCTTGAAAGCGTTCGCTTGGCTCATCAGTTTTTGAAATGCCTTCGGCAACTCTCTGAAGCCTGACCCTTTGAGACAGAAGAAGTAGGGGGCGAAACGTATGATGGCTCTGTAGTGAGCTGTTGACTTTGTCGTAGAAATGCTGGAAGCAGTCTTGAAAACTTCCGTAAAACCACAGAAACTTTGAGTGCTTGGAGCCTTCTGATAAATAAAGCAATGTGTACTTACACCAGCAATTAGCTACAAAAAACGTCGTTTATATTTACACTTACAATATTTCACTACATATAGAGATAGATAAAGAGAAAGAGTGAATGTATGTGGTGTATGCGTAAAAAGAATTCATCGGGAGGCACCGTCTTATTGAAACGCGGAATGTTTTCTGTTGACAGGAGTGGTCGTACGACATGTGTGCACATTAGGTAGGTGACATATAAGGCAAAGAATATATTTGATAGATTAAGTGGGCGGAGGATAAACGAAACAACGACAATAACATTACGACATCCAAAGACAAGGCTTTGACAGAAGAATTATCTGAAGAATCTCAGGCGGCAAACGAAGGTGTTCGAAGCGTTCGAGGTGTTGATCATGACTGAATTGATGGGAAGCTCCGTGATTGCCAATACTTCTACGGGCAAGATTTGAATACCTATTTCATTTAGCGTGATGAAGACAATACCCCTATAACTTGATTACAATGTAAAAGAAGTACGTAAAAATGAAACCTAAAGACAAGTACGAGGTGTGGAGGCTCTTTTCTTGTGGCATCATCTGCTACACTGGATTACGACTATGGAATTTGTCGGGTATGGTGCCAGGCATTTGAATTTGTCTAAATGTGGGAGCCGGAAATAAAGTAAAGGAAAAGAGGAAAGCGCGGACTCCGTAATTTCACGTGGTCATCATGTTGATAGATGCTTTCGCTAGCATATTAAGAGAAGCAAGTCAGTGTTTGCTTACGCAACTGCACAGTGATATTCGGCCATCGCTACCGTACATACACTCCACTACTCTGTGCACGTCAATGATTTTATTGCGATGCTGGTTGGTCACGGCTTTCCAGATAACCAATGGACATTGAGTGTTTTGAATGCTTAATGCGTTAGTCAGAGTTATAGTAACGTGAGTGCGAGAGCTCCCACTGCAAAAATATATGGATATTGTGCTGCCGGTAGGCATACGCAAGGTATCTTGGGATGGAGAAGTGAACTTGTTGTCAGATGCAATAATTTGCTGGATATAACAGACTAGCAAATGTGAAACATGCTAACGGTTTAACATATTATGGCCGGTACTGACACAGAGCGTCCTACAGAGAGCAGTACACATCTAAATGTTGGAAACATACCGGTGGCGTTCTTGTACTGTATGAGATAGGACAGGATGGGACTGTTGCCGTTGTACGGCTCCCTCCACGCCAGGCTCGCTGAACGGCTGTTAACACTGGTCACGTTGAATCCAACAGGCGCTTCTGGAGGTTCTGAAAGTGTATCAGGGAATATTGCGGAGGGGCAACATACTTCACATGAATATTTATTGAACAAGTAATGTAGTAAAAGAAATGAATGAGTGCAGCTTGCACTGGTGGTACAATGCCACAAATGCACATAAGCACCTATATATATATACTGCTGGCTTTCACCACATTTTTGAAGTGTGCTTTTTTTTTATTCCTCTATTTCTTTCTTCTTATTTTTTTCTCTTTTTCTTTTATGTATTTCTCCTCGTTTATTTATTTCTTCCTATATTTCTGCCTTTCATGGCTTTCTCTCTCTCTCTATCTCTCTCTCTCTTTCTATTTCTTGCCTTTTTCATCCTTTCTTCTATCTTTTTGTCCATGTACCACTCTTTTCTCCCACTTTCTTTCATTCTCTCTTTTTCCATTTATCTTTAAAAGTTTTTATGCTCTGCTTCACTCTCCCCATTCCCCTTTTTTCCTTCTCTACACCATCACATCTACCCACCTCGAGATCATTTTCCTTTCCCATGCCTTTTCTACCCTATAATATGGAAGGCTATGCTAATACGCAGGTAACACTGACAAATTCAGTGTCATTTTGAGCGAATCCACTTAAGCCCTCAGAATGACGCTTCGGTGCCGCACCGCTACGCGAGAAAGAGAAGTGTGCTTTGGAAATAATGGTAATGGCGATAGGCAATTAGGTAGCCCAGGAGATAGTGGTTACATGAGGCAATATTTCTTTAGTAAGGCGCCACAGCTATAACAATTCTAAAAAAAAAAAAAAAACGTCACGTGCAAACACGGTGGGTGAGGCAATTGCATAATGACGATAAGGATGATGATGATAACTGTGGTTTTCCCCTTTGTATCGGGATGACAACGGTTAGTGTCCTGGCCAGAAAAATAAAAATAAGTAAAGAAAACAAAACAACCCTGACCTGCGTGGAAGGCGCAGCCGTCACAGCGAAAGCTAGAAGAACGGCCTTTTAGAGCCTTTTCTGAACACTCATTGGGTAACTGCTGCAAGTACACTTGCTTGATACCTACTACAGCATTAATAATAAAAATTTTAGGTTAGTAGGTCGGCATTCGCTATGTTATTTTTGTCATTTTTCCGAGAAGCGTGGTATCCGCTAAACACCTTCAAGAAATTTTGTGCCAGCTGTTCATGCAGTGACTGACGATGATGAGGAATTATGCCTGAACTGGGTATGCGCCAGAGTTAATGCCTGATTAAGAACAAGGTTTTGTAAATGGTTTTAGCATTGGACGGCCCACTCGTTACGCTATTCGCTTTGTGCGACGACTGTTTGTTCTTTTGCGGTTTTAAAACGCTTTATAAGTCGCAGTAACGCGATTGCTTTCCCGACATCAAGCCTGCATAAGGCAAGTTTGCCGAGAATTCCCAAGCACCGGCGTGGCTCAGTGGTAGATTACTGGGCTGGCACCCGGGGTACCCGGGATCGACTCCCACTGTGCCATTGGTACGAGTTTTTTTTCTTCTAATATTGTGCGATATGGTTACGGACACTGGCGGTGGCGGACAACTACGGCGGCGTGACCCGAGTTTTCGCTGTAAAAAAAAACAAAAAAAAAACAATTAAGGTTGTGGTCCCCCATCGAGAGGAAACTACTCCGCATTTTACGCATTTTTCGTGGACGCACTGTGCTCACTGCGTTCGACGAATGAATTTTATATGGGCGAATTCACAAAGCTCAAAATCTATAATCCAGCGTCGGCAATGTCGTTCGTCGACACTCCCACTGTGCATGCTCGCGTCTCCTGCCAACTGTCGTTTCGCCTCCCCTCTCTCGCCCCAAAAGACCGACGCAGCCGCACATTCAATTAAAAACCGACTGCTCACGCTGCACAACCGTTCACTGGCCATCCCGTATATGAAGGCACTAGATCGGGCGTTTGGATTTAGTGAAGGGCGTCTTTACTTGGCTTTCGCTTAACTTGACGCTTTGCTTGACTCGAGTAGATACGATGGAAGCAATAGTGGGGCACAACCTCACACAAGCGTCCCACCACTCGTTGAAGGCAACGCTGCTCCTTCATTCAATAAATAAGAATAATAAAGACAAAATAACAAACCATAGCCAATTATGAACATTCAAGCGATACCCCTACCACTCTATGTAGAGGACGCAGTGCCATGGCATCCAGGCTACGAATAAACAAAACGGCGATGATGATGATGATTCTTTCTGTTTCTGATGAAAAAAAGTTTGGCGAGCCTAAACGGCTGTGCTGTTGAGAAAACGAATCTTCATGCAATGTACCTTTCGCCGCCAATTGGTGTCTTTTATGTGGCTTATTTTCTTAGATTTATCAAAAAGCCTTTGACCACTCAGTTTGTTTTGTTTCTCTTGTTGATAATATTTGAGGTTTAACCTCCCGAAACCCCGATATAATTTCGAGAGACGTCGTAGTGAAGGACTCCCTAAATGACAGCCACTTGGGGTTCTCTAACCAGCACCTAAATACCGCGGCCTTCGGGTTGGCAGAGGGATGCCATAACCGCTAGACCACCGCGGCAGGACTAGAACACACAAACATAAACACAAACACACAGTCACACCACTCGCACACACATACACGCGCGCGCACACACTGGGTAAGAAAATAAACGGATAGCGACAATCTAATTCATATATGACATACCTTGCACGATGAGCCGGATGTGCTTCTCGTCCTGGCCGTAGTTGTTGGCCACTTCGCACGCGTACATTCCCGAATGCTCCCGCTGGGCCCCGGACAACGACAATGTGGACACAAGGCCGTCCGGCAGCGACTTGGCATTCACGCGTGAACCCTGTCTGTGGGGGCGAGATGTAACGTGCCAATCAATGCTACGTCAAGAGAGAGAGAGTGAGAAAGGAAAGGCCGGGAGGTTAACCAGATATTAGCATCTGGTTTGCTACCCAGCACTGGGGGGCGGGGAAGTAGGGGCAAGGAAGAGGGGGTAGATACAGAGAAAAAAAACAAAAAAAAAACGCACGCACACTCATAAAAAAACGAAAACACACACAGGAAGGGCGTCCTAGCTACAACCATTCAGTAAGGCCGGTCGATCGCAAAAAGTTTAGTAGCGCTTTCAGGGCCCTCTTCTGTGAAGTCGCATCCTGACGATACTGCGGAATTCCCTGCTCCGACAGAGGTTGATCATCTAATTTGTTGAGTTCCTTGCGAAGGCATAGTCGTTGTTTACTATACGCTAGGCACTCACAAAGAATATGTTGAATTGTTTCCTCTTTGCCACAGTGGCCACAGGCTGCGGTGTCGGCCATCCCAATGCAATGCTACGTCAATTTTACATTAACACTAACGGGGTGAATACAGCATGAATTAAGGTCAGGGGATCAGAATTAGCAAAACAGCCGCAGAAAATGCTAATGTTTCTTTAAGTGAACCCATACCTTCTCCGCCAAACAATTGACAATCTTTAGTGATTCAAATAACCTAATTATGTTTACATTAGCAGTTTTAAGAAGCTCAAGTAGATGACAAAACAGCTGTTCTGATCAACGAAGCAAGAAACAGTGCGAAACACAAGACAGTGAAAGAGACGGACAAAGCTTTTCTGAAAAGGCATAGATAATTCTAGGATGCTAATAAATTTTACGTACCACTGCAGAAAAAAGAAGGACCACCTTGCCCCAGTGGCGCAAGGCTTGAACCATCAGCGGAGCTTGTGTTCGACCTTGCCAGGTTCTGATAGCATTGCGAAGATTTTGCAAGAGACGCTGTGCTTTTGCTCGTAGTACTGAATATATCTAGACTTCACTGCTGTTCTGTGGTTTTGGTCTGTTCCCTGCACTTCGGACGTGTCCCGTGGCTTTGATTGAAAGACGTCCTGTGACTACATACGTGCAGTTACGAAATTTTAGTTACGCGAGGAAGATAACGCGGTGTTAAGTGATTTGAGTTAGGTAAGCAGCTGCTACGTGGTTTTGTCGCGAACGTGCCCCGTGACAACCTGTTGCGTGAAGTTAGCGATTTTAGTCACACGACATCATTTTTATGTGGCTTATGGCGGGTGCTTCAAAACTAAACTTCAAACTTGAACTTATGATGAGAATATATCTATTACGAGTCTTTTGTCGAAAAAAAATGTGGCATATTGGGGCTTGTGATTACGTGGTTTTAGTCACGTAATTAGTTGTTACGTGATGTTACGCAATTTCATTAGTTGTTAAGTGTTGCACAGCCATTTTTAGCAATGTAACTGACTTGCCCACCCATGCTTTTGTAATTCAAGCGGGGAAAATTGGCGTGCGTGTTGTGGGAACGAAACAGTTAAGGACGGAGTGAGCACGTACCGTCTAATAATAACTGCTGTTCGTACTACCCAGCGCAAAGCTTACAGAGCTCCATTCTTTAAATCTGTGTGCTGGTCGCTAAAGTTGACTCATGCACTTTCCCGCAAAGCTTGCGTAGGCTAACAAGTAATACTATCAATTACTCATTTTGCTCATTTGCTGAGTTGCTCATTTACTGAATGTGACGATTAGAAGTGCGTGCTGAGGAAGCGTCGAGTATTAAGTGCAGGCGGATGAAGTAGTTGTTGGGGTTTACATCCCAACACCACGATATGAGCATTATAAATGCCGTAGTCGAGAACTCCGGAACTTTCGGCCACATTGGGTTTTATTACTTGCACCTGGATCTGGAAATACGGCCACCGCAGCCCAAATTTGACCACGTGACCTGCAGTTCAGCAGTAGAGTGCCATCTTTTCTCCCCCATACCATAGCGGCGATTAAAGTGCTGACGCAGAAGACATCGAAACGCTGATGGTTAAGGCTTGGAACTTCGCACTCAGCAACGGCGACTTGCACCCTAAGCTTTCTCGCAGAAACGGCGAAATGCTGGCGCTACTTTTGTTGTTCTGTGATCATCGATGCAGCGTTGCGTACAGCATGAACTTACCAACCTCACCTGACTTAACCTGCTTACGTTAGTTTCACATGAATGTCTACACAAGAAGGCCGTGAATTGGACGAAAAGATGTTGTGGAGCGTTGTGTCGTGGCAAATGAAGGAGCAAGAATATTGACATATATATAAAAGTTGCGAAAAAAGCTTCTTTTTACACCCGAAATAATGATTGATTTGTGGGGTTTAACGTCCCAAAACCACTATATGATTATGAGAGACGCCGTAGTGGAGGGCTCCGGAAATTTTGACCACCTGGGGTTCTTTAACGTGCTCCCAAATCTGAGCACACGGGCCTACAACATTTCCGCCTCCATCGGAAATGCAGCCGCCGCAGCCGGGAATCGAACCCGCGACTTGCGGGTCAGCAGCCGAGTACCTTAGCCACTAGACCACCGCGGCGGGGCACACCCGAAATAAGGAGAGGATTGACCACTGGGGGGAGAAACATAGGTGAAAATTCCGCAAGGGCTTGTTACGAGTAATGCGGACGATGCTTACCGGCGTACCAAAGAGCTTTCTGTTTTAGCACCGTATACCCGATTTGATGTACTTGATTATATTGTGCCGGTGTGCACACGATTTGAAGACAGCGGTATCAAGCCGACACTACAAATACTGCATAAAATATATATATATATATATATATATATATATAATGCAAGATGTGTATATGGTGCTGGCACATCTACACTTTTTGCTCTTTCCCTTTCGTTACTCACATGCCTTACCATACCACACTATACAGTACAATGCATGGCCATGCTTGCTTGTTGTATGTTTCTTTCTGTCTGTTTATCGCTCTGTCTCTCTGTGTTTTTTTTCTTTCTTGTAATCCTGTCTTTCTTTCTCTCTACCTGTAGTCATTCGCCCTCCTCCAATTTCTCTTCTCTTTTTCTCAATTTCTTTATTTCTCTTTCTTCATATACCTTTCTGTTCCTCTCTCTTTAGTCATTCACCCTCTTCCTCCCCCGTCCTCACATCTCTCCTGCTGACCATGACTTCTCTTTATCTACCCCTTGATAATATTCTATACTACTAAAGGCTGTGCTCTGCTTTGCTAGCGAGCGTGGACAGCTTAGTGGTTAGAATCAATCAATCAATCAATCAATCAATCAATCAATCAATCAATCAATCAATCAATCAATCAATCAATCAATCAATCAATCAATCAATCAATCAATCAATCAATCAAATATTCAATCAATCAATCAATCAATCAAACAATAAATAAATGAACCTTTATTAGTTACGTCAAAAAGGTAACACATTGCTGGTAAATATGCACGTTGATACGAAGGTGCCAGCCCCAAGATTACAAGGTGCAGGCGTGATGACATATGTTAAATACTGGAAAAATTAAATAACGAACAAGGAATAGAAAATACCTTATTAAAAAGTTACTAGTAAGAATACTATCCTTCCGATCATGCGTTTGCTGGTTTGAATCTCGCCTCGTCAAAAAATATTTTTTGCCAAGAATTTCTTTAGTTCTTTCTGCCACTTTCTCTCCCTCTTTCTCTTTTTCTTTGTCTTTATCTCGTTCTCTTGTCCACTGATATAGGTGTCTCCTTCCCGAGGGAGAAAAGTGTGATCGCAGTGCCCTCCTTCTCTCCTTCCCGCACCTTATTCGTCAAGATCAAAGGAGATGCTTCACAACGGTTGAAAAAAAAAAAATGAAGCGAACCCGTGCTTTCTGCAGTGAGCTGCATTTGGTTACCCGCTTACTTGCAGTAAAGAAGGGATGTGAACAGTTGTTAAAATGCAGCATCAGGAGCATTCGGCCGCCATTGTCATCGAAAATATTTTTGCCATAGCCCAGTGAACATATGAGGTAGACTTTGAACCTTTCCCGAGTGGTCAAGGAGGTTCCCCCTTCCCCCTTCTCTCATGCATAAGCCTTTGTCCATAAGATTTTTTTCGCCTACTATAACGGACAAATCGGCCCACACATTCTGCAAGCAAAGCAGAAGGGCAAGCAGACGACGAAAGCCAACATGTTCTAATTTATGGTAGTAAAATTTTCTTTCTACAACATACGACGAACATCGAGCACAGCAGCTCTGCTGTAAAACGCTGCTCTTTCAGAGTGAGGTTATAAGAATGGCCACGTTCTTGTTTTCATGAGGCGTGGGCATCCAAAGAAGGACAAGTATAGTTGCGCTAACACAAACAAAACAGTAACAGCATAGGATTTCACCTTTCGTGTGGACCTGCTCTGCTACAGTGTTTATTTGCCACTATCGCTTCACACGTTATACTTTTGAGCAGTTCATAAGAGACTGCAAATAACAAAATATTTTGCGGCTGTAGCACTAAAATTCCTTGCTTCTGTCCACTACAAAGGGAGCTAAGCGTACAGTCTTCTGGTTCTACCAGGCTTTAGACTGAAGGGCACTCGCGTAAAACTATCGCATTGAGTCTGCGGATTTCGGAGATGCGTAACAGCTTGCAACAATTAAAAAAATATATGTAGGCAACATCTTCATGGGTGATTTGAACGAGAAAGAGCAAACGAGAAAGTTGGCTTTCTGGATGGTTCTGAGATGTAAATATAAAGAACAAAATATGCCATATACTTTTACACCAGCAAACATAGGCTCTTTCAGCGATGCAATGGTGGTAGGCTCTTGCTGGTCTCACTAAAGAGACTTTTCAATAAGATACTGGCAGTCTCATTTGTACATATAAAAATAATGAAAAAAACACGCTAAATATACGAGTAGTCGTATGGGAACACTATGATATGCAGTGCCACATAGCCGAGAGCATGCAACGTTGCATTATGGGTCACTAGAAAACACCACAAACTTATGCATGAAAATGGTGTTGAAGGTTGCGCGCATGAATATTTTTGAGGAAGCGCTATTGTTTCGGTCAGCTGTGGTAAAAAATTATAAGAACAACGAATGGTTATTCGACATCTGACGTATAAGTGACTTACTAGCTATGTTGGCGAACGCCTCTGCTTGTATATATAAATTATATGAAATAATGGATGCTCTTAAAAAAAAAAGAAAGCTCAGATGCGTCAACTTCTCTTTTTATTTGGTGCTGGCTTAGCTGTCACTTGAAGTTCTGCATCTGAAGTTTGGCATTACAAGTCGGCCTCTGTTAGTGGCATTCACGTACAATCACACTGTTTCCAGCTTGACTCCGGCCTGGCCGCAGACCCTGCATTTCTTTACCGTTAGCCGTGTCGTCCCTTTGAGAACAGCTCTCGCCGCTAACTTGCGACCCAGCTGCCGCCCAAGGCGTGTCCAATATAGCAGAGGGCGCGGAGCGCAACGCGTCGATGCTGTTCATTTGTTCTGGGAGGGAACTCTCCGTCTCCGTACGGTGTTTTCACGAGCAGCGTTAGTGGAAGGACTGGGGAAGAGAGAGAGAGAGCAGAAACCGTTAGTCAAGGAGCAGTGTCCTCAGCGAGAGGGAGTCTTTGAAAAACGACGCGGGGACAAATTTGTACGGTCTCCACGAGGAAGTCGTGAGGGCCGCATGGACTGTTAGCTAGTTGCAAGTTGTTGTTCTGTAATGGACCTCCACTTCACCAGGCAATTTAAGAACAAAACGAGCGCCATGGCCACTCTTGCCCGGGTGATCATTATTATTACGCGGGGAACACAGGCGCTGAGCGAATGCGTTCCGAACAAGAAACAAGCCCCACTCGAGGCCACTTTTTCATACCACCATCGTCAACGCCACGGACAAGAACACTAGGAGAACTTTTAGCGAGGGTCACATGGGACATAACACCATCCCCGGACCACCCACATTTCTACTGCATTGTTTTTACAAACTCTTCATGTTGACCTCCTTCTGTTTGGTTTCTTTATTTTCTGGGCATTTTTCTCTCACGCATGCGTATGCATTGTGGTATTATTTTTTTTGCTCCCGTTATTAAAAGTTTTTTCTTTCTAAGCTCTCTTGCTCTATTTGTTTTCTTTCGCCACGAGATCATTTCGCTATCTTAATGATTAACATGGTTCAGCGAGCAGCTGGAACGCTGGTGCGGCAGCACAGTTGCGAACGACACTGACACGCGAAAAAATGGCGCGGAAGTTGGCAGCAGATGGACATTCCTTTCTGGCCGCTCTCTTTTTCTCTCTCTCTGTCTGCCGTCTTTCTGATTCCCTTTCCCGTCTCTTCCTTTTTATCGGTACTTCCCTCGAAGGTGCGCGGGAGGATGATTTCCACGCGGCCGCGATGAAACGCGGATCCCGAATGTTCCCGGAGTACCGCGTCAGAGAGGGAAGTTTTCGTGCAGGGGGAAGAAGAAACGCCACGCACAATTTGTGAGGGTCCAGTCGGCGTCCGTTGTGGCTCCAGCTGATGTTGATGGGCGCGTCGCCGGAGGCCCTGCACTCGAGGTCGACGCTGTGACCCCGCTTCGCAGTCTGGTTGCGGTACGACTCGTTGAAGCGCGCTGGCACTGCATTACAGGGACAGGAAAACCATTTGACGTCGAAAGGAGGATGGGGTACAAGTGTAGAGTGGTGTGCACACGATTCGTCAGCGACAGAACGAACCACTCTACGAATGCCGTTTTCCGGAGCTGTGGACACGACGGAACAGGAAATGTAAAGGCGATGATGTAACAAGCAGTGCACTGCGAGGAGATTTGCTCTGCTTAGAGATATCCGGAATATTGTCATGTAGCACTAGCCTCTGTGGTAACCACTGTCTCCGCGCTTCGTTTAATAGGTGGCTGTTTCTTCATTGAAAGGAGCTTTGTTACTTCGTTACAGGAGAGGACATAGGACATAACCGAGAAAGTTGATACTGGAGAGCTTATTTACACGTTCCAGGTCTTCTATACGGTATGAAATGCGCGAACCCTGACAAACTGAAGCGTGAGAGACAGGGCAAAAAAGCGAGACCAGAAGCCTATTGCACATTACTCAACTGACTATATTATGCATACATCACCAAGTGACCTAATCAAATACTCTTCTAAAGGTAATCTAATAATCAAAGCTGACCTTTTCTATCAGAACTTGTTGTTGGAATAGTTGGTATAACTCGTCATCCTGTTGGTATTAGCGCAACTTCGTAACCCCTCGAAAAACACTCCCACATTTACACACACATCCATTCACCTAACACGTGGTACACACAGAGCTTACTACAAGATCTTTATTGGGCCTGACTTACTAGCATATATACGTACTATATAATACGCAGAAGCAGTGAACAGTAATGATGCGCACGTGCAATGATCCACCAAGGGATGGGAGATGCAGCTCGCACTTCAAGAGGTAACAAAGAATAACAGAATCAAATAAGCCAGTTAGGAACACTTACACATTGACTCGAAAAAGGAGATTTCCTTTTGAAAGAAAACTACGGATGGCTCGCTAACACAACTCTTCTTATTTTTTTCTATAAAATATGCTTCCACCGATAGACATGCAGATGATTTCGCGCTTCTTCCGAGAACGTGTGTCAGTACCTGTGGGGTCTGTGCGAGTGTTTTTCGAGAAATGATCATGTTGCGCGAAGCACAGGTGTCCCAAAAGTAGAAAGGAGCATGCCAGATGTGGGCAAGATATGTGCACGACTTACGCAAGCGTGTTATATTATATAAGTCGTTCTTTATTTATAAACGGACATATGCCAGAGGAGAGTCATTATTTTTGTGTAAAGAAAAATGATGACTATCTACTGGCACATTTCTGTAAAAAACCACCTCTCTTATAGAAACACCTATCTTATAGAGTGCACTTGCAGTTTTGCGTAAATTAAATACAGCTCACGTGCTCAGTTTTACTTTTGGGACACCTGTGCCTACAAAATGTGACCTCTCTATTCGCAGTCAAAACAGCAGAATGGATATGCTCATATCATGGAGCACCTGTATTTTTCCTTTTCTGTACGCACACAACTGTTGAACGACATTAAGTGAACATTGATCGTAGCAAGAACACTGTAGTACTTTGGTTATTATACGAGGGAGAGGGCTTCCGCAGTCAAAACGTAGCATGGGAAACCAACTATGCGTAAATACGCAATAAATTTTTTCTGCTTTGGTGGCATATCCACGCAGGTTTCCACTTCAGTTCCTTATACATATAATGAAGTTACTTGCCATGAACGTTGAGCGTGATGACCGTGCTGAGTCCAGTGCCGACGCCGTTGCTGGCTTGGCAAAGGTACGAATTCCGGTCAGAGACTCTGACTTGTGCGATGCGTAGCGTGCCGTTCTCGAAAACTTGGTAGTCGGGGCCGCTCAGAATCTGTCGGTATTCCGTGGCGCCTGGTTCTGCGCGGGGGAGCGAAGAAAGCGAAACTCACTTCTTATCCACTCCCCTAAGAACTCTGGAAGAAGAAATCTTTTTTTTTTCTCTCAGTCAATAGCATTGATCGCTCCTCTCCTCCTTCCAAAAGCTTTCCATGCCTAACGTGATTTTTCGTCACCTCCAGTATCGGAGGATCGTTACCTGGCAATGGTACGACGATATCTGGTACCGTCATCACGGGACGTCCCTATCACGAAGATGTCATAATGACTTTACAAAGTTTGGTGACCTGTGACATCATATGGTGACGTCATCACGTCATTTTGTTTCATCAGTCATACCCGCTGACGTGGGATGCTCATCGCCGATGCTCAACTTTTCTTTATGATGAGGTATATCGATGCCTTAATAATATTGTGAGAAAAATTAGCGCAGCCGGAGGCTTACTCACTTCAGTTTGGTCGAAAGCGAGAATGGGTGGTAAGGGGCAAGTTTTTCATGTTTTAGGGGCGAAGCTCCTTATAGCGGCACCCGTTTGTCTCTCGTTGCAGTAGTAGAAGTGTTTACCAGTCTACACTTTTGACCTCCAAGGTGGTGACGGTGGGAAGAGTTCTTCTGTGCGTTGTTTGAAACAAACAAATTTGCAGGCGTGTGCTGTTAAACTAAAAGCCGAATTCACGTTATCATTCCCTTCAGCAGCCATTGGCCTGTTACATGAACACTATCTGACAAAGAAAGGTTTGCTATCTATCTATCTATTCCATATCTATCTATCTATCGATCTATCATCTACTATCTATCTATTATCTATCTATCTATCTATCTTATCTATCTATCTATCTATCCTATCTATCTATCTATCTATCTATCTATCTATCTATCTATCTATCTATCTATCTATCTATCTTCTATCTATCTATCTATCTATCTATCTATCTATCTATCTATCTATCTATCTATCTATCTATCTATCTATCTATCTATCTATCTATCTATCTATCTATCTATCTATCTATCTATCTATCTATCTATCTATCTATCTATCTATCTATCTATCTATCTATCTATCTATCTGTCTGTCTGTCTGTCTGTCTGTCTGTCTGTCTGTCTGTCTGTCTGTCTGTCTGTCTGTCTGTCTGTCTGTCTGTCTGTCTGTCTGTCTGTCTGTCTGTCTGTCTGTCTGTCTGTCTGTCTGTCTGTCTGTCCACCTACGACTTTCCGCTCTCCTGGCCGTTTCGATAATGGTATCGATACCAAACGTGGTATGACATAATATGACTGTATGAAGAACATATTTAACTAGTCATAACATGAAAATCATGCTATGTATGTCATGAATGTCATGATTTACATTTCATAGTCTTGCAGCTCTTGCGGTGATATCGTTCACATGGCATGATGAAAAATTGGTATGGTATGGCAAGATTGCATGGCGAACACAAGCACGACAGACCCTAACATAAAAATCATTACATGCGTGTCATGTGAGAACATGACGAGATGCCACACTCATGATGTGCTGGCGGCCGTTTCACTAGCGTCACATATACCAAATTTGGTATAATGGGACGTGAATGAATGACGAAGGCATGATACTGGTGCAAACATAATAAGCATGAGATGCATGTCATGTAACAACATGACTACATGCTACGCTCATAATGCGCTCACGGCTGTTTCGCTAGCTTCACATTTACGAAACTCGGTATTACGCGACGTGAACGGACGACATAGGTAAATGACACATCGAAACATGATAATCTTGACATGCGTGTCATGTAACTACATGACTACATGCCACACTGATTATGCGCTCGTGGCCGTTTCGCTAGTTTCCCTTATGTCAAATTTGGTATTACGTGGCGCCATTGGATTACGAAGGTATGTGACTGGTGCAAACATGATAATCATGAGATGCGTGTCATGTGAGAACATGATTACATGTCACAGTCAAGGCGCCAATACATTTCGACGTGACGCGGTTCGCGTGCTCGCCGGCGTTGCCACGCCAGGCGCCGGTCCTGCCGTATAGACTCGCAGGCGCGTGCCGCGGTGCATTTATTTGGCGCATGCGAGTTTCAGCGCGTCCGGCATCCCTCCGTCACGAAAAGAGGGAGACGCAGTGTTGTCTGGGTAACGCGTCGGTGTGATACGCAGCATGTCGAATTTCGCGCCGGTAGCCGTCGGGCACGATAGCCGTCGGGTACGCTGGTCGCGCCTGGCGTCAGCTTTATAGAGTGCTCGCGTTTTGCTAATGTAGCGTCACTGTGCACAGCGTGCGCGTGAGTTAACGCTACATTGGAGTATATTGGGCCTTTTGCTAGCTCCACACATACCAAATTTGGTGTTAAGTGACGTCAATGAATGACGAAATAGTATGACTGGTGCAAACGCGATAATTCTGACACGCGTGTCATGTAACAACATGACCACATACCACGCTCACAGCGTGCTCGCGGCCATTTCATTAGCCAAATCTGGTATCACGTGACGTGATTAGATGACGAAGCTAAACGACACATCCCAGCATGATAATCATGACAAGGAAGTCATGTACCGCATCATTTACCTCCACCTCTGAACACTGTGCTGGTGTTAGAGTGACATATCAACATTTCTCATTCGTGCTTCGCATATCATCAATTCCCACTGTACGTAGGATCTGTCAATTTTTTCCAACAGTTCTTTGAGGGAAGGCTCCTGAGGCCACAGGATTGTCTCGCGTTCTCGTAGCCACCTCCTTTAGTTTGCCAAAAGTTCCCTAGAAGGCACTGGGGGTACTATAGTACTAAGTAAGAGACGGTTAGAGTATTGGCGGCAGCAAAATAGTGATAAAGGACAGAAATAGCGGGAAAATGAGGTCACTATGACTGAAGAGGCCGTGATAGAGAATATTTTTTTTTGTTATATTATAAGGTCAAAGTTTTTAAAGTAGATAAGACATTAGGCCAACATAAACAGAAAATCTTGTTCACATTTTTTCTTGCGAGCCCGGTCACCACGCTGTTACTAAGGATACGTTGACAGCATCCATCCATTCATCCATTCATCGTACTATACCAGGTGGCACACATGCCACCACCCGTTATAAAGGGGACGCTTATAGCATTCATCCATCATTGTTATAATTGCGAACTATAGATGGCTCTCGCTGCGTTGGAGACGCGTGCTCGAATCTGAGATGAGATCGATTGATAGCCGTTAAATGAATGGATGGATGAACGCTGAACACTAATCACACGAACAGACAGACACAGATGAACGGATGGATGGAGCTTCGCCCAATCGTCATCATTCACTCCATGGATATCCTGCAATTTTTATTTTGTTTGTGTGTTCTGAAGTGGCGAAAGTTAAGCTGACCAATTTTTCAGCAAGACGACACTTGATCGACACAAATAAGATGATGATGAAACGTGGGGTTTAATGTCCCAAAACCACCATATGATTGAGAGACGCTGTGCTGGAGGGCTCCGGTAATTTCGGCCATCTGGGGTTCTTTAACGTGCACCCAAATCTGAGCACAAGGGCCTACAACATTTCCGCCTCCATCGGGAATGCAGCCGCCGCCGCCGGGATTCAATCCCGTGACCTGCGGGTTGAAGTTTATTTATTTCTTTCTGATACAGAAAGAGGAGTAAGAGCTAAAGGCCGTATTGCCTGACAGATGCTCCTACTCCCATGCGCATTCGGCATGCGTGTACATGTTTGCATGCGATGCGAGTATACAAACAATACAGCAACCAGAAAAATCAAAACATGCATGTACATAATTGTCACTGCAAATAAAGCATTACAGGTAGACATCATACATGAAAACTCTTCATGAAAACAAACATATCATAGAGACACTTCAAGAATATATACCTATACGCATTAAATTGTGAACTTTGAAATTGTAGCACAAACTGTATATGCGCTACACGTAGAAAATTAGACAGATATATTTTATTGATAAGTTATCGTGGAATGTAACAGAAAGTTCATTATAAATTTTTTAAAAGCGGGGTGCATGAAAGTCTATATGATGTTCAACAATGTTCAATAGCCGAGGTACTTGATACTCAAGGTCCTGACGCCCGTAGTTCGCATAAGTGGTGGCATCCTCGATTGGTGGCGTAATTGATATTGAGGGGGAGAAATGGGCAGGCTACTAACATGGAGCCTGCGCTTTTTTATGTGCAAAAGTAATCTATAATAGTAGATTTGATTTGCTCTGATTAACGAGTGTTTCTCAAAAAGATTGTGTGTGGGTAAATCTCGCGGTCTACCGTGATAGTTTTCGAAAATTTGCATTGCCCTTTTTTGCAGTTTTATTAATTTGTTGTAATTTTTTGCAGTTGTTGTTCCCCATATTAATGCACAATAGCTAAGTTTTGAGTGAAAGAGGGCGTAGTACATTGCCTTCTTTAGTGTTAGTGGTATAAGACTACTAATTTTATACATAAAGCCTACTACTTTACTGAGGTCGCTGCTGAGTTTATTGATATGATTGCCCCAAGAGAGGTTTTCTTGAAACCATACGCCCAAAAACTTTTGCGTTGTTACCTGTTCTATCTGCTGTCCTTTAAATAAAACAGTAATCTTGACAGGCATTGGCTCATTTATTGGTTTAAATATTATATACTTAGTTTTGCTAACATTTATTTGAAGTTTGTTTAACTTCAGCCAGTCAGATAATAAATCAGAATAATCAATAATTTCTTTTTCAATCTGTTGTAGGGATGAATTTGAAAAGAAAAGATTAGTGTCGTCCGCATACATGACTATGTTCGGTGTAGGTGAAATGCTTGGGAGGTCATTGATTTATATGTTAAATACCGGGCCAAGTATGGATCCCTGCGGTACGCCAGTCTGTACTCTAAGATAGGGAGAGGTCACCTGAATAAATGAAACATATTGAAAACGATCCGTTAAGTAGCTTCGCATGAGATCTAACGTTGTACCGCGTATACCATAGCTATGAAGTTTAGATAATAGTATTTCATGATTCACACTGTCGAATGCTTTACGGAGGTCAAGG